AGCTATGTTGGTAACAGTGCTAAAAGCTGTCATTACCTAGCAGCACCATAAAGCTTATAAAGATCCACAGGTCACTATATGATGACCTATCAACAATTCAACAAATTTGGATTTTTATTGCATCACCACCACTGGGGAGATCTTTATCAACTATGTATTTACAAGAAACTGGGACTTTGGGTGTAAAAATTAGAAAGTTCACTACACTGTTCAACTAAGTGAAACATTACCCTAGCATTAAAAACTTTAAAAAAAAAAATCATTTTCTTTGTTTTGTTTTTGGGATTCTCATAATACCATCTAGCCTGACGTAGTCCGACTCAATTCTAGTCAGAATATGAGTCTGATACTGCTCCACAGAGCTGTGATTATGGGGCGTGTTTTGAACGAACCAGGAAAAAAATGCCTCTGCACTCAATTGGATAGACCTACAACCAATAAGAGCAACGGAGTGCGTGACGTATCTTAAGCGAGGCATAGTTGTTGTCCACAAAAATCAAAGCGTGCAGTTTCACGCCTAGAATAAGAAGATGAGACTTGATCGCGTTTCTCTGTTCCTCTTTTAAAATTAATTTGCTGTCGATATCTTCTAGAACAGACCTAATAGCAGAATCTACTCACCCAAACTCTCCAGCGGCAGCCATTATTGTTGTCACCCAAGCGCGCTTTGGTCACGTGGTTGATAACGTTACTCTTGATCATCTGTCCATCATCGTATAAAGCCCGCCCTGACAATTTGATTGGATCGCCTAACAGTGGGCTTTAATACTCGCGCTACTATGGAGCAGAGCCAGACCGAACTTCCCGAACTCAAACCTTGTGGGCGGGACTAAGTTCGGACTGGCACCCAGGCTAAATACCATCCCAATCGCAAGTTAAAATGTCATTTTTTCCATCGAAATTTAAACTTCTATTCTGTCAGGTTTCCTTGTTGGTTTTATTGAAAATAAAAATTTATTTCTATGACTGATATGTTGCTTCAAGTCCCAAAGAGACACAGGGAACATAAGTTAACTCTGAATTTTCTGCAGCAACTCATTTATTTTTGCTAAATATAAGAATAAAAAGAGAGAAAACTTTAGAGGCTTCTTTTTTTGTGGAGGGGGGTTTATTTTACATGCATCACCCTGTAAATTACTTTGAGAAAAGCTTTGTCGTTTTCCGTGTAGAGGACTAATTCATGACCAAGTTGTAACTTCCTGGATGATGCTTTGAGTTGTTATTTCAACATTTCCGCAAAAGGTTATTTTCTCACGGTATCTTTTTAATTCCTCCAACATAAACACAAAAAAAGCGCCCACACAACAGCAGCCTCCCACCCACATGCTCCCTACCAATGCATGTTATGATCACATCTTACTCCTAAAGCCTGACTTCAGCAAACTTCAGCATTTGACGAAAGTACAATCATTTCACCAATAGAAATTATTTCATTCGTACTGACCAAAAAAATATATATAGGGTAAACATCTGGTCTATCTATTTATCTATATGCATAAAACTGCTTGACTTTTGCCTTATAATAAAAACAAATGGTTGTCAAAACATTAAATTTAACTGATTTCTGATTATCAAGCTCAGCCATTGATATGGATTTTAAGTTAGTTGTGCTTTTCAGTTACTTTTTACGCAAGTGACTGAAATACTGCAGGTCCACGCTTTCCCGCCTAAAAGATCCTGGTCTTCTTCAGTAGGACCTTCAGGTTACTGCGGGATTGCTGAAGCACAGGGTTACTAGTATAGCAAAGAGGATTGATTGACTCTTTGTTGCAGCATCTTCTGCTAACCTGCAACTTTTATTTACCTTAGACTTAGCCTCAACTTTATTTATCCCATTGGATTATTCCTTCAAGGAAATTCTGGGTCAAAAACTGAGTGTTTTTTTCCATCTGCTTTTCATGAGATTCATATTCAAGCAAACATTGATGTGACCGAGGATAGACCAAAAGGAGGATGACATTCTCCAGTTGTGAGCTCTCCGTCTGGTTTTGTGAACAGATAAGGTCTTCTCTGTCAGGCTTTTGTCGTTTGACCCCTTGGTTTCTTATTACTGTCACCCACTGGGCTGTAGTTGTTTTCTTCAACATCTTCCCCATGTGTCATTAGGCTGAGCAGTGAAACAGAAAGCACAGATGATATATCTGGCATGCCCTTTATTTACCCAGTTAGAAATACATCCCCGGACTTTAAGTGGAAAAGGGGCTATAGAAGCCTGATATAAACATTGAACATTTTAGAGGCACATAAAGAAATGAAAACTTTTAAACCACAGGTGCAACTTTCTGAAGAACTGATACGGACATCTCCCCACCAATAATTTCAATACATAGACTTTGGCTCTCAACGACAAATTTCTAAATTTGATTTTGCTGCCTTTGAAGGATGATAATCACTGATGTAGCTGAAAGGGAAAATATCCATCAATCCATCCACATTTTTATGTATAGATTGATGGATGAATGAAACTGAAATTGTTTCCATATTAGGGAGGCATGATGTATGGCTGTTGGTAACAGAATCGGCTGTTATTCATCCTTCTATTTTTATATACATGAATGTCTAACTAACTATAAATAGAAATATCAGTATATTTTTGTTCGTTTGTGTTCTCAACAATAGGAAAGCATTCAATAAATATATGTTAGAGTTCATTTTTGGAAAATACAAACCCTATTGAAAGCGTTTGTGGCGAGTAACTGTAGGTTCATCAGCCGCAACCCTTAGTTTCCCCACCAACTTTCATTACAAAGTTACACCCTTGTTTTAAACTTTTTGGAGGAACTTTATGAAAGATCCATCATTGATGGTGTGGTGATAATCTAGCTCTGTTTATGAAGAATTAGATATGTTATAGATTACTTACAGTGGTGTCAAAATTACACACATTTGTTATTGCAGTTTAAAAACACTGGTAAAAGTTGAAGTATCATCTTGACCTCTTTACTCAAGTAAAAGTGAAAAAGTATGAGCTCCAAAAACTACTTAAAGTATGAAAGTATAAAGTAACCTTTAAAAAAAAACAGCCAGATGCCACTATATGAACTGAAACCTACGACGGAGTATTAGGGCCACACATGAAGAGAAAAAATATTTTTGCCATGACGAGATTAAACTCGACATGTCGACTTTAAAAGTCGACATGTCGACATTAAACTCAACATTTCAAGAATAAAGTTGAAATGTCATGTTGAGTTTAATCTCGACGTGTCGACAATAAAGTTGAAATTAGTTCAAGAGAGCCAACCGCTGCACAGGATACATGCACAGAATCCAGAATCAGACATGTCTTGTGTAGATGATTTGGTCAAATTGTACTTTCTGTGATGATTATACAGTTATACAGTTGCAGCACGTCAAAGACTACCTTCACTCTTAAAACGCAGACTGCAGCTGTGGAGCGCGGTTGCTCTTTTCTCCAAACTTTGGAGTGTCGAGATTAAAGTCGCCACGATATATCAACTTTATTCTCGAAATGGCGAGTTTAAAGTCGACATGTCGAGTTTAATCTCGTCATGGCAAAAATATTTTTTCTCTTCATGTGTGGCCCTAATACTCCGTCGTAGAAACCTCAATTTTTTGACTATTTCGAAAAATTCTTTGAGATGAGCGACGTCTTGTTGGTTTTCGATCTCCATCACCCGATACTCTCGCCTGTGTCCGACTTATCAGACATTTCAACATCTTTTTCATAATCCGACATTGTAGCATGGCATAGACAATTCACTTTACAGTTTGAAGAACACCTGCTTGCTTCTGATTATTTATTTTAGCTAACCAATGAGTGTTTACATTATAGGACTAATCCAATTACACTAGTTTTCACTAGATGTGGATGGTGCCAATGATCTGCATTGGATGGCACACATGATGTAAAAAAAAAAATATGAACATTAAACCGAAGCCCAGAGTAACCAGTAATGTTTGTTTTAAAAATAGAAAGTAAAGATACTTGTAAAAAATGTAATGAGTAGAAGTCAGAAGTAGGAAGAAAAATAAGTATTGGAGGAAAGTATATATACCTAAAAAGTGAACTTAAGTACAGTAACAAAGTATTTTTACTTCGTTACTTGATACCTCTGGTCCCCACCAGCTTACATTACAAAGTTTGTTTGCTTTAAACTTTTTGGAGGGACTTTATGAAAACTCCAGTGATGAGGGGTGATAATCTATCTCTGTTTATGAAGAATTAGATCTGAGTCCTGTTATTGATGACTTATGCAGAGTAACTTCGTTTCCCCCAACTTGCACAATATATGTTAGTAAAATGTCTGACTAACAATTTCACAATAAAGATGAAGTTTTAAACCTACAGCTCACTGGCTTGGCTTCCAAGTCTGTTCCTATTCAAGTGGGAACAAAATTGAACGCGACAATAAGATAATCTTTAAACCTCACAGCAGGAGAAGAATACAATCAAATAAAATAGAGCGTGTTGGAACAAAGTGCAGTGGTGGGGTTGTGGCAGGAGAAAAGGAAGCAGCCTGGGGGCTGGGGGTGGGGACCACCGCCACTTCCGAATTCTTCAAGCCCCATGAATCCCAACTTCAAGGCGGGGAGGAGGAGGAGGGCTCCGGCTGGGAACGAGGTGTATCTAAAGTTGTCCTTTTCTGGGTGGGCTTTGGTTCTCATAGCCGCCCTCCGGTTATCAGAGAGCGAGACATTATCAACGTCATCATCATCATCATCATCTACTGGAACACGAACACATTTCAGAGTGCGCACGTGCCTACTTTCAGGAGTAACGTGAGCTCGTAAATTTCTAAACTAAGCCCGACCGTTAGAGTTAAACCCGACCGTTATAGGGTGAATAAAAAATAAAAGTAAGCCAGAAACGGAATTCTGCTTATTCAGCGTCACGTAAGAAAAAAAAAAAAAAAAAAAGGGGGGGGGGGGGGGGGGGTGAGACATCCGGGGAAAGGTTTGACACATACACTCGCTCTCTAATTATCTTCTAAACCACTAAATATGGTTTAAACAAAGAAACAAAAAGCTTTACTTACCCCAGTACCACCAACTCCCCGTACTTCACCGGGTCTTTAGACGGGGCGCAGTGCTCCTCTTGGCTTGACGAAAACATGAGGCTTGGCTGCGTTAGCTACACATTAATAACAGTGTCCTAAAAATAAACATGTACTCTTCCAGAGAAAAGGAAATAAAAGCACCTAGTTTCCCCTTCACTACATGTTACATGTGTATCCGCATAAGAATATATCTATTTTCTATGAAACAAAATAACAGAAAATAGAGTGCTGTGTAACTTCCTCAGCTAACCACAGCACAACGTAACTTACTTGGCGGTTGAGTCCGCTCTACAGCCGATACAAAAACAGCGAGGAGCAGGGCCGGACTGTACCATTCACTTCTTATCCACTTTCCAGAGGGGGGGACTCCCACCAGCTCGGATTTTTCCTACTGTGAGTTTACCCACATCTGGCTCCAACTTCTCATTTTAAGACATGATAATACTTTTCTACTTATATTTTATTATTTTTTTATTCTTTTGAAGATGAAGAGAACCAAAAAAGGAGTTTAGTTTTTCATTGTAACCACTATACAATATCCATAGGTGGAACCATCTGTTATGTAAACAAAGACTACAATCTGGGGATTCTTAAAGGGGCACGATGCATAAACAGATATATTTGTTATACCTTGTTAAACTATAAAAGGCAACTTCTGCCACTGTAATAAAAATAGCTATTTCTATCATGATTCACATTAGGTAAAAACTTTGTAAAAAATTAAATAACCTAATACCCTGAGATGACATTTATCATTAAATGGCAGTGCATAAATAAACTCAACTGAACTGCATAAGAAAGCATCACATAATTTTTAACTGAACTGTATATAATAAACGCATACTACATTATAATTATTATTTGGTACATTATAAATAATGATACGGCTGCTTTTAGTGTAAGATACTATTATGAGATAGTAGTGAGAGAGTTTCTAAATAATTATGACTAACCTGTCACCTAATAATAAGAAAACCAAGTCATCACATTTCTGACTGTAGATGATATGTTAAGTGGTCATTTTTAGATAAAAATAAGATATGACACAATTATTAAATACCTAATGAAGAATCTCCAGCTTTAGATCACAGAATTCTGAGATGGTGGTAATAAGATAGATAAAAAATACTATTAGACATTTGTGAAATACATTCTTATAATTAAAATAGAGGCTTACTATGGCTACTACAAATCATAAGATCATATATCATCATTAAGATCCCACCTCTGAACTTGAATTTAGGTAGAAAAAATTCTCATAATCATCACATATGAGACAGTACTTTATAATGATATAACTAAGTAAAAATTGTGAGACATTATCTCATAAGTGAGCTATCATAATGATAAAATCATATCTAAATTGTGAGTTACCTATTTCAATTGTGATGTACAAACTTTTTTTCTTTTCATCCAGTGGCATAAACAAGCTTTGATATTCAGAAAAATAACACGAATTCCTAATATTATTTCAGATATACAATACATTCAGTCTAGGTCTAAAATTCATCTAATTTTTTTTATTTTTTATACACAAAGACATATATTTCCTGTCTTTTACAGTAACAATATTTTTTCAAATGTATATTTTAATAAGGACCCCAGATGGTCTAGCTAGGTATAAAGGTTAGTTGACGGGAATCTAAATAAGAAAAACGTCCCTAACCACTGGTCATGTTCAATATTATAAATATAAACATCATGTTGAGTGGACAGCAGTAGTGGGAAACACATGGTAGAAAATAATTCCGGTTTGTATTCTAGAGAAGTGAAAACATGTTGTTCCGCATTTTGTTTGTGATTCCTGTGAGCTCTTTAAAAGCTTTCTTTAATCAGGGCTTAATGGCAGTTTTGCAAAAACATGTGACCGACTGTGCAACCAAACACAGTCGCTTGGAACGGCATTCATGCCCATCAAACCTGTTCATAATTTCTCACAATACAAGCACAGGCCTAAACGTATCTGTAGATTTGGTTTGATAAAAAAGCGATAAATGGTGCATAATTGTAAATTGGATGGGAATTATCTGATTGATGAGTCATGGCTAACAGTGTCACAAAATTCTCTATAAAAAAAAGGGGTAATTGTAAAAAAATATATATATATCAAAAGAGCTAAGCAAACATATAAGGAGACCAAATTAAACTTTAAATCAAAACAGTAGAAGGAACCTAAACCTGCATCAAGAGCTACACTGGATTCTTGTAGACCACAACATGTTTATATGATACCCTGGCCCAGAGTCCAGAAGAAAAATGTGAATGTCTGTTTGGCAATATTTGAACATCTGTGGTCATAGAAGACTGACTGGTCTGGCTGACACTGAGCTATTTTGCACAGTTTTTACCCATGTGTAGTCTGATGCAGAGCCCAAGAGATCTACAGCTGGAGTTGCCTTGAAAGGAGTTTATTTTTTATTATGCAACATAAAAAGAAAAAAAAAACTGATATGGTTGAAGAGCTAAAATGTTATTAAGTGTTCTTACACCTCTACCAAGCTGCTCGTGTAGAAATTGTATTTTGTATCACTAACAAATGATTGGTTTGTTGGCTGCAATCCTACAGATCGGGTCTTTATTTCTCACTTGTAATACAATGGTTGTATTGTTTAAAAAGACAAATCATTCTAACAACATGTCAGCCTCACCCTTTGGATAGCAGATTATTCAGACACGGACATATTCATAATTTGCTGAAACTAAACTTGAAATGAGACAGGCCTCTCGTCTAGTTGCTCTCATGCCATTCTGGTAAAAGCACCACTACTCCACCTTTATCTGGCAGTCTCATCAGCACATTAATGGCCCAGTCTTGTTTTCACACGAACTTCCATTGCTGAGGGTGCTGCCCCACTGCCCGGGGGCCCCTTTCCCCCCCGCCTAGCTAATTATGGCCAACTGTTTGAACTAGTGTTCAGTTTCAGTAACGACGCAAAAGTAAAAAGGTAGTGAGGGGGTCAGTGGGGTCCATGAGGGTATATGCATTCTCATCCCTTCATGCCATTTTAAAGAGAACATTTGCAGAAATATAGTTTTTCTTGGCGCATACATACATCAGCTTCTTCAAAAACATTAAAACCCAGTTAGGCCTATAACTAAGGGGCTCAGGGCAACCCCCTATAGGATTGGGTATAATGAATGTTTACTGCTCTTTTGTGCCACTACCCTCTTTCTGCTGTGCTTTCATTCACTGGGTATTGTCTTTGCAACAGAGCACTGCAGGTTTTGTTTCTACCTCTGTTTGACTCGCATAAACACACAGAAGATTTGGGGGTGGGTGTGGATCAAAGGCTCCCCGGCACATACCACATTGATGGAGAACAGATGCAGGGAGTGGGCTGCTTTGCTGAAGCTGCTCTGGCGTAGTGAGAGTATAAATCTAAGTTTAGGAGGAGGAGTCCAATGTTACCAGGCAAGAAGCATGCAGAACTGAATTGCACAATAGACTGTGGGCAACAATGACAACAGACTGGTAAAGTCCCTGTTTATATCTGAGCTGCTCAAAGCGAGGCTTTACACAGAAATATTGGAGGAAGTGCAATCTGCAGGAGATTCATGTGACTATCCAACATTTTGGAGCATTTTTCATCATTAAAAAACAATGGCAAATGTCTTGTTGTGAAAACTGACTGTTTTAGCATTTCCTATATCGCAAGGAAAATCACAGTTTGCAAACTGACTTTAAATTGGAAGTAGACTTGGATAGTAATCTCTGTCTCTAGCTAGTTGGAGGCGTTTCTCTTTAATGTTGATGCACGCTGTGCTGCAACGTTTTAATCAAATAAAAAAGCTAGATCTCCAATCAGCTGACTGTAGCATGACAGTGTGGGAGAATGTGAGGAATGTGCTGATACTGTGTTCCTCGTGCTCTTGACCCAACATCCCCCAGCCACTAAACACCCACCCTCTCCCCCGGTCAGCACAACAGTTTTGTTGTTTAAAAAGCCTTTTTAACATGCAAGAGAGCAACAGCTTACCAGCACAGATCAAGTCAACATCAATTCCTCACCTGGAATTTGTATTTACTCTTTTGGTACGTCCATTTTCTTGTGGGAGTGGACTTTATCATATTCAAAATATCTATATGGATTTTTCTTTCTGCCTTTTTCCCCCTTTTGGTCTTTGGATTGAATTCTATTTAAGGGTATCAGAGTTAAATCTTAACCTTAGCAAAACAGCATCTGACCCATTTGACTTTGAAAATGTTGAAATTTAAAACAATCAAATTATTAATATAAATGATAAACACAAACAATGCTACATATCCTGAATTCTTAAGCTACTCCAAGTTCTCCAACCACATCATGGCCTGATTACTACAGGCCTGTAGCTTATACGTAAATTACTTTTATGCTGTCATATCTTACAATATGAGACGGAAAGAAAGATGTTAATCATTTATGTTTAGCAGTCTGAAATGGTTCATGCATTTTCAGAGTGGCTGGCCAACAACAATTAGTCAATGACTCATCCATGAGGTCACAGAGCTCAAGATCCAACATCCTGAAGCCTCTTGACTATAAAGGTTATTGATCATATCACAATTCTGAAAGAGATGTGATTATTGACTTTTTCTGTTTAACATTTACACTGATGATGGTGTCCAGTTACACCTGGCATAAAACAGTACTAAATATAATATATAAATAATGATATGAAGAAAAATCCTTAAAGTAAAGACTAGTTGGTGTGATTGACTGAACTAGGATCTTTGTGACTTTTAATTTATGGCGACAGAGTTGTTGTAAATAGAAATTCCCAATGGCAAATGTCTATGGCAAAAGCTTATGATGTGTTTGAGATATGCAGCAGACCTGCAAGTGAAGCTTAAAGAAACAAATTAAAAAGTTAAGTCAAATGAGGATGTTTAATAGCCTAGTCAAATCCTGGACCTAAAAACAAATGTATGGCACAAACGTATGTAAAGACGATGAGGGAAGAAATCCTTGTTAAAGCCAAGGCTGTCAGAGCCATTTGTTATGGCTCTGCCAGGTGGCTGTCCATGGCTATGAAAACTATAAATGTTTATCTAACCTAAATGTTTTGTTTTTTTCCCCCTTCTTGAATCAACAAAAACCAACAGGAAATTAAATTCGAATTGAAGTTTGACAAAAATAAAAAGCAATGGGGATATGAATAGTTTTGCAAAGCTCTGCATATTGGAGCCTCTACAGCTTAATTATATTTATGAAGACGTAAATGACAATGTTCTGAAGACGTCAGTGGAATATAAAAAACAAATCCTCCTTTAAAGTGTCTGAATATACAGCAGTTTACCAAAACAGTTAACTTGTAAGATGCCAGCTTCTGATTATTGTTTTCAGAATGTCCTGTTTTCCACTTTGACCTAGAATTACCTCTGTGGATGCAAAGCAGTTTTTAATCCACTTACAAGCAAAACAAATTGGAAGGGAACCTTTGGATTTTAATTGAGCTTTTTCATGTTTTCCAACCTAGAAAGCAAACTAAGGTAATGTGCTGCCACCTAGTGACCAAAGGAAAGATTGCGTTAGAAAAAGGAGAGCACATATTTATTAAGCATCCCTTTTATTAACATCACCCATTACAAAAAGAACAAAATCTTCAGTGTTAATGGACTCAGCCACAATATAGTAAGTGTTGATTACACACGATATGGGATGCTCATTTCTAAAGTGGTTGCAGTAGGATTAAAAATCTCTTAAGTGTGTCTGATCTTGTACTGCAGACTCCCTTCTCTGTGGAGCTGCAGTAAAGGCGGGACATGGAGAAACTCATCTCCATGGTTAAGAGTCACGTAGTGACCCATCTCACATGCTGAGAGCTCTACAGACTCCCTTCATTTCCCGAGAAGTTCTGAGCCAACATTTGCATGGAGCTATCACGATGGTTTCTCTGGTCAGTGAGCAAATCAACAGAACAGTGTATTTCAGCAGGTCCTAAGTGGTACATTTAAACAATACATATCTTTAAGTTAAAAGGAAAAGAAAGGAAAAACCCACGGTTTGTTTTGTTAAGGTTGGACATTTTAGCTCTGCCCTGTTGAGACAACAAAAACACTACTGAAGTTTTCAAGATATCACTGGAAATTATACAGGTGGATTTATAACAGAGGAATGGTTGCCACACAGTTTAAATAATGCCGGGACCATTTTTAAAGTTTAGAATAATAAAAAAAAAAAAAAAAAAAGGAGAAAAATCAATTGGTGAAGCTGCAGAAGAGGAGGAATGTGGCTGGAGTGAAGTACTGGAGTTTTGGTACCGTGCCTGGAGTGTTAGGAATAAAACAGAGCCTCTGCCTGCTTCTGTGTAGACAGTATGGGAGGGGTCTACAAGCCCATTAGTCTGCGTGAGACAGAGGCCATCTACAGTACAGGTGAAGTTGACAGGGTTTGAGAGAGAGAAGGGAATAGGGGTATGATGCAGTGCGGTAGTGACAAGGCTGAAGTTTGCAGGTTTTCTCTGTATTGAAGTCAACTTTATTCTCTTTCATCCTCTCGTTATACCTTCTCTTGATCTTTGTCAGTCTCCTGAAAGAAAAATAAACCGATTCAGGCTGAGCATTCAAATAGTTGTTGAAAGCAGACCTTGGATGTCTCTTTCCTTTATTCTGATCTTTTATTTACAAATGCACCTTCCCGCCCTGCCCATCTCATATCTTAATTGTGCTGATAGACGAGATCTCCCAAGATGGTTTCTTACAATGATTTTCTGCATAACCTCCATGTCTTTAAGAGGGTGTAAAGAAGTCGTCACTGTCAGTTCTATCCCTTTTTAACACACCACAATCAAAAGACTAAATAAGCCCCATTTGCATCCAGTAACTTCCACAGCATGAGCATATTCTTTGATTAAGGTTTACTGTAGGAAAAATGCATCTAAAAGCTGCTGGATACCAACATGTCACATCTGGAGTCTGAGACCCTCGCCATCGTTACTCTATCATCGTTTCAATATTAACATGAAAATCTGCTAGCCATAGGTGATAACATCTTTTCCCTGGTTGACTGGGTCGAAGTGGAGGCTTGTTTGAACCAAAATCCAAAAGCAGAAATATTTGTCTACGAAAGAGACCCGACACAGTCCTGATCAAACTTTCCAAACTTGTTGCTCTGAATGTTTGCCATCTACATCAGGTTTGATTGAATCTTCAAGGCTGCTTTTGTTTATTAAGTACAGGACATGTGTTTAAGCCTTTGTCAAACCCATTTGGGAATAAAAACGAATCTCCACACATCCAGAGGTAAAGAATCTGTCATTCAGGGATATCTTTATATAAAGCTAGGTGGTTTATTTAATGTTTAGCATTGCGTTTTAAAGCTTCTTGACCACTTTTACATTCTGTAGGAAAGTTAACTTACCCCCTGTTGTCCCTTAGCCAGCTGCTGGCTGACTGTCTGAAGCAGCTGCTGCATTTCTCTCACTGTTTGATTCAGTCCTGCAGTCATTTTCTCCTTTTTCTCAATCTCCTCCTGTCAGACATACATGGGTTGCTTTAAAACAGATGTGGAACCACTGGATGTAACCATTGCCTGTAGCCTTATATAACCCTTACCCTCTGTGATGAGAGGCTGCTGTTCTCTATCAGGTCATCAGTGTTTTCCGTTAGTTTGGAGAGTTCACCCTGGATCAGATCAAGGGACTGCTGAGCCTGAATGAGCAACAACAAAAACAATTCTCCTTCTTATTAGCATCATATGATGGGGTTAGACCTGTATGAGGAAAGAAATTATATAAAAAAGAGAAATGTTACCTTGTACAGGTCACCAGCTACTCTTTGCCTTTCATTCTCCTCTGCCTCCAACTTGGAGAGTGTCTCAGTTAGCTGGGTTTTTAACTGGAAAGAAAAACAGATGTTTAGCTTGTTTTTTTGGATTATACAAGATAATCAAACACTAAAAGTCAGAAAGCAGGGACTCAGTGGCGCATCTAAATAGACTTGAATATCACTGAAAGGATTATTTCAGTTCAAAAAGGATTTATCAAACATACGATGATACATTGCAAGAATTTTTGTGGTTTTCCGTTTAAGATCAAAGCTGATGAAAACTCCCAAATCAATGTTCTGGACACTTAAATATCGAATCCCATTGATGAAACATGTATTTATCTTTCAAGCAAACCATTCAGAGTACTGTATCAAAGTTTATTAATGAAAAGCTAGTTGGAAGAAGAAACTGGAAAAATTGTGGTAGAAACAATGTTAAGTTAATCCAGTTTGTGAAAAATTCCAGACTGCCACTGCAGTCGGTGCTTCAAACTGGACTTTTTGCTATTATGTTTAAATTAAAATATGTGAAGCTAATCCTGATTTAAAGACACCTTAAAGGGGTCTTAGATGGTCAAAAATGACTGGACTTTTACCAAGTGGTTGGGACTCTTCTTTCCAGTATGAAGTTTGCATTTTATAGTGAACTTAAAAAATATTATGAAGCAAAAAGGCCAGTGATTCAAACAGCTGGTCCAGTAAAGGAGTCGGACATTCAGAGGGATTTGAGAAGCAAGGTTGTCTGCTGGGTTTGTCCTCCTATGAGTATAAAGTCCCAGTTAATGGTAGCCGTCTACCTGGCAAACTTGGATCACTTCATGCTTCCTTTTGCCGATAAGCTTTATGGAGATGCTAATTTCATTTTCCAGGAGGACTGCAAACCTGCCAACACTTCCAAAAGTCCCAAACCTCTTTTTATAACTGTGTTATTACTGTGCTTGGTTGGTTAGGAAGCTCACTTGTGCTAAAATACATACATGTGGAGTATTATCAAGAGGAAGAAGAAATAGCACAGGCAGTGATATAGGTGGTTATTAAAGCAACTTCAGCTGAGACACAATCCAACTACCTGCATGCAACACTGAACCAATACAGATAATCAAGCAGACACAGCCCAAACCAATCATTGATTGTATAATATCACTAAAAGTCTATATTTTCCAATTTAGACTGGTATATATAACATTCCAGTTGTTATCCATAATCATCCTAAATTTGTAGAAATATAAAACTGTGTGCAATAAATATATATATAGGTTGCAGGTCTTATCTGCTGAAATAAGAGATTGCTGTGATATTCTAAACTGGTGAAAAAACAAATAAATGCTGGTTTGCAAAATATCAAAAGGCAGTGCTTATTGCCGAACAGCATCATGTTTGTATGACTTTGTTAATTCAGGTACCAGAAGAATGACATGTCGCCATCTAAAAAGTCCAGCTTGAGGAACTTGCATAAAGTTTCACACACCTCAATATTACAAAAAACATTTTCCCACAAGTCAGACAAGGTCCTGGTTTATGCAACTGTTTTCTTGGTGTTCAAAACTAAAACGTAATGATTGTTGTATAACTTTACAGTTTTAACTACAGTCATGTTCATTTGTTCCTTCTTTGGTTGCAGAAACTTTGCAACAGTATTTGCAACATTTCAGCAAACTTTTGTAAAATTCCAACAGCTGTCAGGAAGTCTGGGCTATTAAAGGACAGAACAAAGTCATTAGGGTCCAATCACAGATGTTTCATTTGACTATTATCACCATTTTAGCAACACAGGCTGAGATAAAACAGACATAGAAACCAAAGACTGAATACTGCAGACAATCCCTAGAAACAAAGATTAGTGTGAGAGCGAGATCAGTAGAATAGAGATGCAGAAAGAAGAAAAAGTTAGAATAACAGGAAGTAAAGGGAGGAGAATCACCCAGGATTTCTATAGTTTACAATGTTACAGTCTTCATACTTCTTAAACTTTATACTTTTTATATGATTATTTCAAACTTTAAATGCATTTCAAATGAGGCGTTTAGAAATCTACTCTATTCAAATGTAACAAATTAAAATGTTATATAAATTGTATCCCACAGCATGATGCTGCCATCGTAATGTTTCTCTGGGAGATTTCAATAGCTTGAAATGTTAAGTATGATATGATTATTTAATCATCTATCCCTGCGATACCTGCTTTTTTGGCCGCAATATTTATATTGAAAATAACTTGCACTGAGTATATAGATTATTAATCCTAAAAGATAATTAAAGATTATCTACTAAAGCGATTTCTGAACTTTGTTACTTTTAATATAAAAAAAAAAATGGATGTCGTATGTTTCAGTAAGACCCAAACACATTTTCCTGTTATAGATTTATAATTAGGCTACAATCCATGTTGGTTTAGCCAATAAAATCCAAACAAAATACAATGATCTTCACGGTTGTAACAGTGTTTTAAAGATGCAAGTAATGTTCTTAATGTAACATATGTTAGAAGTTCCAGAACATTTGGAAAATGACCCAAAGTTAGTCAGCAGACAGTGAAACCCGTCCCGTGGCAGCCAGTGCAATAGGCTTTAAAGCAGCTCTAGCTAGAGGACCATCCATGCTTACCACAGCCAGCTCCTCATTCTGTCTGAAAGCCTCTGTGTATGAGCCATCAAGTCTGGTCCGCAATTCAGTCAACAGATCTTTGAGCTGCAATTAAGTTTGACATGTTGTTGTTTAATGGTGGTCTGTGGGAGATAACCCAGGACAGAAAAAACTCACACAGTCTGTGCAGGGAAACTGGATGACCTATCATTCCAGGTCTGTTTGGCCGTAAGATGCCGTTTTTCCTCAGGTAAAAAGTTTAACAATGACAGAGAAAGGGTTCCTGCTTACCTCTCTCACTTCTGTCACATAGGTGGCACTCTCACGCTCTGCTTTCTCCAGCTCCGACTCCAAGTGCTGCTTTTCTCTTCTCAACTACACAGCAGAGCACATAAAAGAACATCTAAAAATTATGCTACTCTGAAAATTCTGGTGTTTAAACAGAAGCAGTGGTTTTAAATTGTGCTCTGGGTCAGATAAACAGTAAACAAGTCAAATCTGAATGTGGATTGTTATTCGTTTTCAGCCAGACATGAACCAGTATAACATCCCATTCTTAATCCACAAAAATCAGAGCAACCTTTGCAAAAGTCACAGCCTTCCAAAAGGTTTAGGATCTTGTTTATGGAAACATTTCCACAGACCATTTGTAAGTCAGACACTGATGTTTGACATGATGGTCTGACTTATTTGTGCCTGCCTGTCATTTATGCTTTGCTGTAATCCCACTAAACACTTAGTGTGGAATATAGATGAAAAAAAAAGAAAAAGAAAAAGAATGGCTTGACTTTTTCTCCTCCCATGACACATTTTTTTTTCCATACGTTGTAGATTAGATCTCACACATAAATGTGTAACCATTAACCATCCCACTAGTTTTTAAATACCACCGGAATAGCAACAGTGATGGAAGCCTAAGAGTATAAAACTTCTTTTAGGAAGCTGAATTGTCTTTGTTAGGAATTAACAACCTAATCTGTGATGTAATCTGAACACACACCTCTCTAACGTCCTCCTGCGATTGTTCCAGCTTCACTTTCCAGCGAGACTCCTCCTCCTCAACGCTGCTTTGCAGGCGCTGCAGGATACCCTCCTGTGGACACGGATGGATTACGACCTCAGTTGGAAAAAAAGATCTCACTTATTTTAGTGCTGTGACCTAGACAATTATCTCACCGTCTCTGCCAAAACCTTCTTGTACGTCTCACAATCCTTCTGTAGAATCCTTTGGCTTTCCTCAGCTTCTTTCAGTTTCTCAGCCAGTTCCTGCAGGATGGACGATATTTATGTATACATCCAGAATACAAGGGACAGAAGGCAAACTTTTTTTTCTACTTTTAGCTTTACCTCGGACACTCTTGATGCTTGGCTAGATTGTCCAACCAAGCTTTCTGCTGCTGCGCTCTCAAATCTCTGTAACCACTCCTGATGGTTCTGTTGGACAGTTGAAGTGAAATTTCAAGTCTAGCATGTTTACAAAAAACATCAGGAACAAAATAGAAGCATTTGATCTTTTGAAACCTGTTCAGAAGGAAGAGGCACATGGGGAAGAAGTCTGTGCAGAAAATCTCGACACTCAGCTTGAGTTTCAGCCAGCGCAGCATGGCCTTCCTATAAAGCAAGAAAAACAACAAAACAAGAGACAAAAGGATGGTTTAAAAGTCAGATTTATTGCCTTCAGATTTTGCAGCGACAGTGTCCAGGGTTTATACACACTGATAAAAAGCTCTCCTTCTGAGGGTTCCTCCAACATGATGTCGGGAAAGCTTCAATTAGAATCAGATTGTGTTATATTATAAAACAAGTAAATGTATATTTATCCAAATTCGACCTCAGTTTGTGCAGACTAAATGATCGTCTTTTAACAGACCGAAAGATTTTGAGAGCAATGGAAATCTTATATGGAGGTAATCTACTTTAAGTCTGGGTTGAAAGGAAGAGTGATCAGAGGCAATGTAATAATCATCTAACATGACCAAATATTAACTGCAACATTTGAATAGTGTTGTTTCTGTGTATACATTTTGTGGTCGAGCAGCAAATATAACAATCAGCCTTTACAGCCATCATCATCTTGTTAACTATGGTAGCTGCCAAGGATACAGGCTTGTGATCCAGAACAATGTGTCAACGATGGTACTGTATGCATCCCTTCTTTCATTGGCAAGGTTATGGTAACTAGTTAATTAATTTTTGATCGTTTGGTAAATAGACGGTTAGGATTTAAACTAAGTGAAATTCAGTTAATGAGCAGAACATATTAGGAGCTGCTAGAAAGTCCAAAAACTGCAAAGACAATCCTAACAAATGGATTTGTACAAGTGATGGCTGGCCTCCCCTGGGGAGAATGCTAACTGGGTATTGCAGCAGCACTCAGACATGCTTTCTACTGAAAGAAGACAACTTTTACATGGGGGCATGGCTTTAAGAACAGCCCAAAAAGAACTTTTTATGATGGAGATCAAGGATAGACTGAAGTTCTGCATAAAGCACGGTCAGACTGCAGACACCATGGATAAAGTTAATGTTTATACTGAAGCCATGTTCACAGAAGATACGTTCAATAAAACATTTTCTCCAAACTTTTCAGAAACATTTTTTGATGAACAATATATTTTTTTAGTACAATGGAGCACAGAATCACAAGATAAAATAGATAACTAAGAGATTAATGTATGAAAGTGTTTAAATTTAATGTCTACATTCAGGAAAGCCTCAAATCACCACTAGATATTTCTAATAAACTTGTTGCATTTCTCAAAAAAAAAAGCCCATGAAACATTTTAAATGCTCTTCCTTGAACTCCAGTTACCACAGAGACAGAAATGTTGATATATAAATAAAACTTTGTAAAAAAAAAAAAAAAAAAAAAAAATGAAATTTATATTATTACCCTCAAAATTTTGGTCTACTTGAACTTGTAATTCAGAGTATCTCATCACCCCTTTGTTCTCCTGCACCCTTGAATAAAATGATTCTGCTTCCTTCAAATGACCAAAGTACCTTCAAGCTTTTCAATGAACCCAGAAGGATCTATATCATGTCCATGTTCCTGCAATAAGCTGATATTGCCCATCTCAGAACTAAAAGAAGCAGCGGCAACCGTCAAAGGTCGACAGTAATACTAAACAAGTTGCTTTGAAAACTACATAACTAAAAAGATCAAGAACCATCTGAGGATAAACATCAGCAGCAATAAAACTCAAGATAGAAGAGCAGCAGTTGCATGCTGATGGTTGGGTGAGCACTCTAACCTAGCGTTGGAGGAGGAAGGCGGAAATATACACACTTCAGTGCAACTGCAAATAGAAACAGCTATCTGGTAGCAGACCAAGCTGTATCTGCACAAAATGTGTGTAGTTATACAGACAGCTGCACTTGTTTGTGATTAAAGATGCATCTTTGTGAGTGTAGAGAGTGGAGAAACAGGGCTGCTGCATATGAATTAAACACTTAGAGAAATGTAACTTAACCAACATAAGAAATGACATCATAGCGGGTTATTTCTGATTAGTTGGCGATATTGGCAGTACGGACAAAACATGCCATGCTTAATGACAAGAAAACAAAAAAATCAAACATGAATCTTGATCTAATGACATCTATTGAAAACACTAAGTCATTGCACACTCATTTCTTGACTTTTGGCCAAGCAATTTCAGACAAGAATATGCTTCCACTTCTAGTACGAACCACATGCATCAGAGGATCAAACTGATTGAGCAACTTCTAATGCAGCCAATTAAATAATCTTGAGGCCATGAAAAGAAGAGGAAGAGCAAAAGTAAGGTAAATGAGTATGCAGTGTTATAATGGATGATGGTGTAAAAAGAAAGTATACAGGGACAATTATGGTAAAACACAGAGCTGTTGGAGGGGAATGCATCAGATTGGATCTAGAGTGAAGCAGGACTGAGATGAGGTGTCGAACCTTGACAGCTTTGCTGAGTTTTCCTTGAAGCATGGACTCGGTGGCTGACAGAGCCTCCATTGCACTCCAGTTTTTCTCCCGAAGCTCCTGTTTTACAAAGTCAGTTCCAGAAAGATACTACTTTCAGTTTAGCTTCAGGGAAAACGCATTTACTGGCCCCTAAAAACAACCTGGTCCAAAAGGATTTCCTTAAAACATCTTGCGTCATTTTTGCTTCCACATCTCCCCTTGTGCACTACTTCCTGTTTTTTTCCCCACCCCTCAAAACCCCAGTAAGGGCGTTGAGGTTTGTTTTGGAAAGATGATCAAATGTAAAAAGGTTCAAGCAGTATGGAATATGCATTACCATGGAGTCCTAACTTAAATATATAAATATACACGTGGCTATCACTGATGATTTAATAAAATGAGAATCTAAAACTTTGATGCTTTTATTACAATCAGGCCTGCTGAAACTGGATCCAACAGCATGCACAAACCAAGGAAACTGGAAGCTCTCTTTGCAATGTTCAGATTGGTGTACCCAAATCAAGGCATGCAAGATATTGTGTCCATTTATGATGGATTCCCTACTTCTTATACAGAGCGTATTCCAGTTGCCAAAAAAAAAGAAAAAAAAAGGAGAAGATTCTAGCAGAACAGAACAAAACATTTAAAATAGAACAGCTGAGAGTAAATGGTAGTGCAGAATAGGGACTATGGGTACATGTAAAGGGTCAAACATGTGGAGAGGGAGCAGTTTGTGCCAACATTCAAGAGACAGAGAAAAAAAACATTTAGTTATTGCATTATGAAGGTACTGCTGCAGGAAACCTACGTTGTTCTTTTTTCTGTGAAGCTCCAATGAGTCCCGCAACTCTGTCAGCTCACTCTGCAGACTGCGGACCCGATTCTCCTTCTCAGACAACCTGATACAAACAATAACCAAGCATTATAAAGCCGTTAGAAACTATTTTCTGTGTGATATAGATCATTTAAACATAAAAGGTGCAGCTTTACTCACGCTGCAAGAAGCTCAGGGCTTGGCGCTGCAGAGCTGGATTGCTGAATAAAAGAAACCAAATTATCTTGTAATGTTTTCTTCTTAAAGAGCCAGCCCTCTATTGTTTATTAAAGCTTTCATCACCTGCTGTTGTATTTGCTCCACCTTCTCACTCAGGTCCTTCGTCTTCCCTTCTAGCTCAGCCTGAAGCACCTGAATTTCCTGGTCCTTTGCCGCCAACCTGAAGTTAAGAATTTCCCATAATGGTGAGAGTCAGAGAAAAAATTAAAAAGGGATGGTCAACATAAAGAGTGAGGTCAACTTACTGAGCCTGGAGGTCTTGAAGCTCGGTACCAGAAGTGGCCATCTCTTTCTGTGCCTGTGATTGGAGCCGTTTCAGCTCCTCCAACTCCAGTCGAACAGCAGACAGCTGCTGCTCTAGAGTCTATGAGGTAAAAAAAGATTCAAATGAGCTAAAAGAGGATCAGTAGTAGATAACAGATTGTCATCTTGCAATAAACCCTTAATTAGGTGGTAGGTAAAAGCCCATACCTTAACCATCTCGTCTTTGGTGGAGCTGCCGACTTGTGCTGCTTGTAAGCTCTCCTCCAACGTTTTCAGCTTCTCATCCCTTTCTTGGATCCTAAACATCACAGCTCTGGTCAAACAAACGTATATAGCTTATATATCATAGCATTTTAATTAAACTGAATGAAAGATAATTAGGGCTGCTCAGCGGAGTAGCGGTAGCACTGCTGCATTGCAGCAACAAGGTTCCGGGTTCGATTCGGTGATTTTCAGAGAAGGGACAAAACAAAGTAGACCACAGGTCTCTAAACAGTGAGGGAGAACTATTCACTACCTAATTATTGTGGATAAAATGTATTTTCCATTAGATCTAGACAATTATATTGTATGTTGAGAGCAAAGCAGCACCAAAGGCAAGTTACTTATTGCTTACTAGCAAAAAGTTGGCTGAGAAAGCAGATTCAGTGTTAATAGGACTGCTTTTGCAACTTTGATGCATAGTTAAAAAGGTTCAATCTTGAAGGCAACACATCAAGCTTCCACCAGATTAGCAGAAAGGAATGTGTGGCTTAACTGAGCTATTACGGGTCAGAAAAACAAGCAATGTGGAGAAAATTCAAGGTTTAAAACCAGGAATGTTGGAATTAGCGTCACTGTTCTTACTTGTGTTGGAGTTCTTCCACTTTTGACTCTGACGAAACCTGTTTTTAGAAAATACCATCATAACAATGTGAAAGGGAATAAAGTATGTTGGTTGTTTATCAAAATGATCCAAACCTTACCTGCTCTGCTTTGTTTTTTTTAAGGTCCTCGTTTTCTTTTCTTAGTGCCACATTCTCTTCTCTTACATTCTGCATTTTGGGGGGGGGAGATAAAAGTCACTAAACTTGTACTTAAAATAGAAAAATGAAAATGTTCACTTATTAAAAAATGTCTTTTTTGTTAAAGCAGACATTACCTTCAACTCAGCTTCCTTGTTGGCCACTTCAATCAGCCCCTTCTCCAACAGTCCCTCAACAGTTTTAATGTTGTCGTCTTTCTCTCGGACACTGGGGAGGCAGCAGGCTTTCACTATAGATTATTTATTTTATAGACAAAGTAATCTGCATTTTAAAAATGCCTTTTCCACACCCACCTCTTTTGGATCTGGTCCAAGGCCAGCTGGGAAGCCGTCTAATAAAAGAGAAAGTCAAAGCTAGTAAGTGTGGGTGTGTGAAAAAAAGGAAGAAAATACAGTTTATTGGTGAGGTTAAAGAACAGGGGAAAGTTAACCTGATCAGCAATCTGTGCCTGCAGATTCTGAATTTCAGTCTTCAGTGAGATGTTCTCATTGTGCAAAACCTTTAAAAGAAAAAAAAGGAACATTTCCTAATACAAGCCTGAAACACGAATATCTTCATTTTTCCCCCTTGGGATTGGATACATCAAGACAAAGATATGCATTATAGCAAAGAGAGATGTTTTTCATATCAAATATTAATCTGAAATGTTTGACATGCATCAGTTATAAGCTTCACTAAAAGTATCAAAGCTAAGACATACTGGAAGTGTGAATTTTAGAATCTAGTGTAAATTCAGACCGAATGTGGTCATTTCTGCCCGCCCTGTGGGTAGTTCACCGCTCTGCATTTCAGATGCAGTGTTCACACCCCGGACAGCGTCAAATACCACAATAGCATAGCTTCAGATGCATGAAGCCGACACCCCACCCAGTTGAAAAACCTCAGCAAATAGGCTGAATAGTTAGTGCTTCATTGTGCAGGCTTGTGCAGTTATATTATTCTTAAAAATGAAATATATATATATATATATATATATATATATATATATATATATATATATATATATATATATATATATATATATATATATATATATATAAAAGATTATGTTTGCTACTTTTGTTTCAGAAGTATTAAAGATAATTTTTATGTCATTCTGAGGTCAACTATCTCCCTCATTAAGCTCCAAATTGAATCTAAATTCTCTACGTTTCCACTGCTATTTCATTTGTGCAGGTAAGACTTGTTTCCTCAGATTTAGTTTTTAAGATAGAATCATTTTTAATTTTGACCGATAACATTGCCTTCCCATTAGATGTTACTGCCGCGCCGGAAATTTTTACTTGCTACTACTGTAGCAAACTTGAGTTAGTGTGACGAGGATGCAGCAAACCAGCAGAACTTATTATTTGGATGCACACTTTTCCTCAACCATTAGGGAGCCAGTACTGATGCAGAATCGTTATTTAAAGGCCTAATGGTCCACTCGCCCTGTCCACTACAGGCCCTATGTGCTAACAAAGTGTTAGTATTTAGGGGCCTTTCTAGACCCTAAAGGAGTCTTTCTAGGGCTCTTTTAAAACCCACCTAAAATCCTTTTTAGAGCATTCCTTATTTCCTTTGTCAACATTATTTCATTTATATTCCATTTTAACTGAAAAATGCCTGGTCTCGGCTGCAGTTCTTTTACCTACATTACAACCACAACCAGTCCCCGATTGGTTGCCGTTTAAAAAGACCTCAGTTCTATCTAGTAGAGCAGGGCAGTGACCACCATCACTGCGTGGGATTCACTGCCGGCTGCTTCACCGCCGGCTCCTTCACCCTTTCCCATGCAGTACATACGGAACACTATGTAGATCCGCTGCCCTGACCGCATCTGGTCTGAATGCACATTCAGAATATAGCTTTGTCTCAGTAGGTTTGCAGCTCGGCTAAACCCTGCAAGAGATTTAAAAAGCTGAGGATTTTTTTTTTCCTTTATATCAAACCTTCTTCATGCTTCTCCAGATGTTTATTCCTGATCTGTCTGGTATGTTCTCTGGCAGACATCTAAAGCCCTTAAAGATCAGCCATTTATACAGAGATTAAATGACACTAATTAACTCCAATAACCTCCAAGTTCATTTTCTGAAAAGCTGGTTGCACACAGGCATCAGATAACAGGGGTCTGAACAGAAATTGTTGTCAAATTCTTATTTGTAAAAATACTGATAACCTGTCAGTTAGAAAGTAAGGTCCAGTTTAGAGTCAGTCTTTTACATGAAAGGAAAAATACCTCAGTAGGAAATCATATTCATGCAAGGTGCTGTGTGTGAAACAACTCAATATGTTTCCAACATGGAAGAGGAAGTTTGCTTACAGACATGTTGGTACAGGAACACAAAGCTGCGGGTCTCTCTAAAACACACCTGCATGTTAGTTTCTCTACCAGCCCCACTGCTCCTCTCAGCATTTAGAGCATCCTCCAAACTCTTCCTCTGCAGCTCCTTTTCAGCCAGACTAAGGAGAGAAAAAAAAAAACAATCACATATCAAAGATCAGCTTCAGAAACAACACATTTCATATAATGTCAGGATGAAAGACTTGCTTACAGCTTCTGGAGCTCCTCAATGTGGGACACATGGGTGGCCTAAATGTTGAACAGAGAAATCTCATTAACCTACTTGCACTGAGATTAAGTATGTAGTGTTGGATGTGATGTTGGTTTTAAAAAGATATAAACGATGGGGAAAGCAGACCCATACCTGTGAGGAGATCTGAGCTTGGAGGCTCTCATTCTGGGCTTTTTGAGTCTCGTTTTGAACCTGAAGAGCTTTTTTCTCATTCATAAGTTCCTGAGGAAGCAAATTTTAACAATGATTTCCTGCTTGTTTTATTTTCATTCTTGTTTATAGGTGGTCCAACACTTACCTGAACCTGGGCCTGCAGAGTTTCATCCGGCATACTGCGCTGGGACATCTCCATGAGCTCCATCACTCTCCGCTCCAGCTGTTCTTTGGAGACCATGACTTCAGTAAGACTGCTGTGTAGAGTCTGCATTTCCTTGTTTTTGTTGTTCATCTCAGTCTCAATGGCTAGAAATTGGCTGTGGAGCTCTATTAAAAGATAAAGACACAAAGCTATTTCTACTCGATAGGAGTGAGAAATTATTATTATTGCTTTCTGTGCAGCTGGGTGTTTAGTGACCTTGGTTAGAAGACTGAAGCTTCTCTCTCTCAGTATTGACATTATGGAGGAAGTTTTGCAACTCCTCCCAGCGGCGCTTTGCATCCTGTAATTGGGCCTGTTGATCAAGAGCAATCAAGCAACAGATTGATATCAATTAATTCCTGAACATAGCAGAACTCAGCATCCATATTTTTGTTAATAATGTTAATTATAGTGCTGGTCATACAGTAATTTAACACTAATCAGCATCAATGCAATAAAATTGTTTTGGGGTGGGGGCATGTCAAATATTCAAAACAATATTTTACAATTGATCTGTTGCAAAACACAAAGTACTAAATATATATTCAGCTGCAAAGCTTCTGAAGGACACATTCCAGTTCTTATAAAAAGGTAAATCTATTTAACAAAAGGGAAGAGAAAAAAGATCTGAGTCTACTTTAAAGAAGCAGTGACTTATAATGACACGTAGGCCTTGTTCAGACGAAGCTGGGTTTGAGGATAAGGTTGAGGCCGCCTGCTGCAGCGTCTCTGTCATGACAACTCCATAGCATAACTGGTGTGTTTGAATATTCGAACCAACACGGCCCTCACTACCCTCAACATGAATACGATGAAACAAACATAATCAGTGGATTTCATTGTGGTTTTAGAAACGATTTAAAGTATTTAAGGAAATTACTCGTCCTACTTGTTGCTCCGTCCTCGATCAACATCGTCACCTTTTTTTTCCTCCTTTATGTCATACTTTGTCCTTTATACCTTTGTGGCAGGACTTGCGCCTAATCCAGTTTTGCTGTTCAGAAAACTTACTCTACTTCATGTGGAAGTAGCCCTAGTGCTTCAAACCCGAACAACACAGACTGTTCTGACTAAACCACTTATCCAAAAGGTCAAGTCTAAAATTGCTAAATGTGGAGCAAAGGCTTTTTTCTTTGCTGGACCTTCTGAGTCCGTGTTGATGTTTAATCTCCTTCACTGCGGAAAGTTTTCTGAAATCTCTCAGTTAATGAAAAGCTAATGATAAGCCTTAGTAGCTGAAACATTTTAAAACCTTTATATTCCTTTCCAAAGAATCTAACATTAAGCTTCTGAAATGACGCAGGCCTCAGGCCCATTCAGAATGTGTGCACCTTGTTTAAAAGGAGTCAAGTTAAGCAGGTTTCACTGTGCCTGGTAGATCTAAGTAGAACCGTCCCATCACCTTGTGCATGGTAACAAAAAGCAAACAATGAGGATATTAAGGTATAAGAATGAAACCAAATGCTTGTGCACCTCTTGAGATTTTTGTCTGTATGAAGCCAAGAGGAAGGGCTGAGCCGAGTATTTTACAGGAAAAGTCATGTTTACACTCAGCTTCAAACATTCCAGCTTCCTAAGAAAGCAAACCCACCCTTCTCAGGTTTTGTTTCCCTAACCAGCTCTTGGGCTTTTTTACTACAGCCCCAACCCCTACCATTTCCCTCCCACTGCTGCCACACCCACTGGACAGATCTCAAGCTATGCAGCACTGAGGTTTTTGTACTACAAAGTTCATTTTTTTCCTCTTCTGTGGACCCTGAAGCACAAAGTAAATACACACATCTGACTTAGCATACCTCCAGCTGAGACACGTTCTGCTTGTAGTTGACCTCCAGTGACTTCCTTTGGTGCTCCTCCTGCTGTAGCTTGCTGTTGGTATCTCCCAGCTCTTTCATCAGGCCGGCATACTCTGAGCGCAGCTTGTTCAGCTCTGCCGAATTCCTGTCAAGAAGTTGATATGAAAATGGCTCATGGCGCAAAACTTTGGGACGCTGCCTAAGAAGCCAATTAACAACGATCCACACAAGATGTGTTTCAGTGTGCAAAGTAAGAAAAGGTGTGGATAGATAAGACAACTAAAAGTGCTTTCCAACAAGCATAAAATGACAAGGGAAGCTACCTCAAATTAAAAGGTTTTAATTAAAATATTGAGAAAAAAAAGAGAAATGCAAATGAAAAAGAAGGTAATTTATTATATACATGTTTACTCTTGTGACGGTCAATAAAATGTATCTAAACCTATAAATCCTATGCTACTAGACTCTTGTACCATCACTGTGGTCTGCCATCTAATGAAGGAAGAGAAAACATGACTTGGTCAGGTTTCCTTCTGGCTGTTAGTGGTTATTATTTTTCCTACAGATATAATACAAAAACAAAAAATACAATATTCAGGATTTTCAGTTTCAAATTCAATTTCAATCAGCTAAATGTACTGAGTGAAGTCAGCCCTAAGTTCAAGGTGAGTATATAAGAAGCCTTTAACAATGGAACACAGAAAACATGATCCACCATGGCAACAGGAAGAAATAAGAAGCCTTAAAGTGTCCAATTTTCACCAGTGGAATTTAAAATATTAATGACGCCATATAGAGATTACACACAAAAAAAAATGTGGCAGAGACCAGTCAATGCATAGGTGGGCTTTGACTGGTGTAAGAGTTTTATCCTCATCACTACATTTATTTAACATCAAAATTATTGGTTTCCAATAAATTGGTACTTTTGTTTTCCTTATTCGACAAGTCCTATTAATATGTACAAAGTTAATCTTTGGTTCATGAATTAATATGAAGAAGAGCAGACTTGCAGCTAAAGTGTATTTTTTTATTCTGTCCCTCCCTGTGAAATGGCTGTATGAGAAAGAGAGCATGGAAACTATAAATCAGAAAATAAATCAGCAGTAAATGTTAATCCTATATACACTTCCAATTATGCATGGAACCCAAAAAATATATAAATAAATATGCGAAATATGAGGCTGAAATAACTAAATGATTGCCTTTGCTGAAAGTTGCAGTTCTGTGGATTAGGTTTTGCTTTTATAGATCTGTTTAATTATTTTAAGATCACATAAACAGGATTCCAATCCAAATAGCTTTGAGAAGACTCACTCCAATGAAAAAAAATGGGAATATTACTTAAATCATGACACGGAATGATTTGGAGGATTTGACCCAGTAGTGTGAGACTGACTTGCTCTCCATCTGAGTGGTGGCTGAGCTGACTGCGTCCCTCAGGATCCCGTTCTCCTGCTGCAGTCGAGTGATCTGGCTCTCCATCTGCTCCCTCATCTGCTGAAACTACAAACAAACGATGCATTTTTTAACATTTCCTATGAAAGAAGACCATTTTATTTAGTTATCTAACACTTAAGAATCTTGGTTTTTACCTTTATTTGCATGTTCTGCAACTCCTGGTAGCTGCCCTGTGCTTTGGCCTGCATGCCTCCCAGCTCCTTCTCCATAGCTGCCCGCTGCTCTCGCATCATGGCCTCCACTCTGCCAGTTTTCTGCTTCTCGTGTTGAAGCTCCTAAAGTACAGAAAAAAATAAAAATAAAATCAGCAATAAAGCCGAATAAAAGCATCCACATTTTTATAATCCTGGATGATGAATAAAAGCACACTGAATTTCTAGACCTGGCTGAGCTGCTTCACTTTGTCTTTGGCGATGGAGGATTCCTCCTGCAGGGTAACGAGAAGTTTCTCCCGTTCTTGGGCAGCTGGGTCAGGCCTCGCTGTGGACTGAAATTCAATGAGATGGAGAAGTGAAAAGCAGTTAAAGGAAGTTCAACAAGTACTTTAAAGGTTTCCTGCTAGAGACAAACTAAGACGTCATGTTGCCCTAACTGTAGTAGGTGACCTGTTAACGCCTTACTTTGTGCCAGGCATCCAGGGCATTGGGGCTCTTTTCTCGGAGGAGAGAAATCACACTGACAGCTTCAACTTCTGACAAAGCCAGGCTGGACAGGGCAGACAGCAGCTCCTTCAGTTTCACTTCTGCATTCCCTGGTAATTCACAAAAAGATGGTGATGAGGTTTATTGGTACAATAAACAGCCAATAAATTTTCTACAGATAACAGGGCCTCCCTCAGACTTAAAACGAAAGTTACGTATGTAACTACGGTTCTATGAATCCCGGATGACCGCCAGAGGGCGGTGCTGAAAGCACTGAATGTTCCCTTCGGGCATGCGCAGTTCGAGTAATTATACCAACAGAGTCACACCTGTGACACCGGATGACCACTCAGAAGCTATATAGCCTGGTGTCATCCTTTGCTCTGCTCCTACAGAATCTTCTCGCAAAAGCAAGGATTCTGAGTGACAGAGAAGCTCTGGCGGTCATCCGGGATTCATAGAACCGTAGTTACATACGTAACTTTCGTTCTATTTCATCCCTACTGACCGCCAGAGGGCGGTGCTGAAAGCACTGAATGACTAATGCCAACGATGTCACAAGGAATCCTGAGCACATACCTCACAGAGGAGGCCCAGCAGAACCTTGTAAAAGGACCTGACCCAGGGGATGAGGGGCAGCCACATTGACACTGTAGAACCTGGTGAAGGTGGTTGGGGAAGCCCATGAAGCAGCAGCACATATAGCTTCCAGCGGAACCCCTCTCAAAGCAGCCCAGGAAGCGGTGACGCTCCTGGTGGAATGTGCTCTCACACCGACTGGCAGGGAGCAGTGACCTGCAGCGTAGGCGTGGCAGATGACACTCACAATCCAATGGGACAGACGCTGTTTAGAAAGAGGACAGCCTAACCTTGGACCCCCATAGCATAGGAAAAGCTGGTCCGAGCGTCTCAGATTGGCGGTGGCTGCAATGTATGCCTCCAACGCTCTTACTGGGCACAACAACTCCGACTCATTCTCAGTTGTACCAGATTGAGGCTGAAACCGAGCGAGCCGCAATGGCTGGTTACGGTGAAAAGGAGACAACACCTTAGGCACAAACGCAGTATTAGGCCACAGGGTAACACCAGAGCCATCTGGATTCCACCTGATACACCTAGGGCTGACAGAAAGAGCATGTAGCTCGCTGACCCTCTTAGCTGAGACGATAGCCATCAGGAAAGCAGCCTTGCAGGAAAGCCACTTGAGTTCTGCTTGTGCCAAAGGCTCGAATTGAGGGTGGCACAGAGCTGTGAGAACCAATGGCAGATCCCAATCTGGGGCTCGTGGGGCTGGCCGCTGGCACAACCTACGAGCACCACGCAGAAAAAGTGAAACCAGTTCATGGCGCCCCACTGTACGGTTGTCAACAGTTCGGTGAAGACATGAAATTGCTGCAACATACACTTTAAGGGTCGAAGGAGAGCGGCCCTTATCAAGGAGAGACTGGAGGAACTCCAAAATAGTGGGCACCGAGCAGGAAAGCGGGTTCTCATTGTGGGCAGAGCACCACTGAGAAAAGAGGCGCCATCTGTTAGCATACTGCAGCCGAGTGGAGGAAGCCCTAGCACTCAATACGGTGTGTCTCACGGTGTCTGAACACCCAGTCAGCCTCCCAGGGGCCATGCCCACAGCTGGAGACGTTGAGGGTTGGGGTGCCATATCTGTCCCCCCAACTGAGACAGCAGATCCCTCCTTGCTGGAAGACGCCATGGAGTACAGTGACACAGACTCCAAAGCAGCGGGAACCACGGCCGCGCTGGCCAGAACGGAGCTACCAGCAACACTCTGTGGCCCTGCTCGAGAACCCTCCGTAGAGTCGGCCAAACCAGTGAGAGGGGTGGAAAGGCATACAGGAGAACCTGCGGCCATGGATGAGCCAGTGCATCCTGGCCCAGTGCACCCGCCATCCCGGTTAGGGAATACCATAGGGGGCAATGGGTCGACTCCTCTGTGGCGAACAGATCTACCTCTGCCTGCCCAAAGAGGTTCCAGATTATGCGCACTACGTCGGGGTGAAGAGACCACTCTCCCGGAGCAGGTGCCTGGCGGGATAGAGAGTCCGCAACCTGGTTCTGCCGTCCTGGCAGATACGCTGCGCGCAGGGTACACAGACGGGGATACGCCCATTCCAGGAGATCCCTCGACACCTTAAAGAGACGTGCTGACCTGGTGCCACTTTGGTGGTTTATGATAAACAACAGAGGTGTTGTCTGTCCGAATCAGCACGTTCCTTCCCTCTAGGTGGGGCAGAAGGCACCTGAGGGCCATGTGCACAGCCCGCAGCTCCAGCACATTTATGTGTTCGGTGCGCTCCCTTGGGTCCCAGAGACCCCGAACAGCTCTGTGTTGCCACACGGCACCCCAGCCCATGAGGCTGGCATCCGTGGTGACCACCTCCCTTCGACACACTACTAGCCCCATTGGAACACCACTGGACAAAAGGGTCCCGTCTCGCCAAGGAGCTAGGGCATGGAGGCAGCTCCTGGTCACCATTAGCCTGCGATGCCTGTGCAGCCTGGCGTCTAGGCGAAAGCTGTTGAGCCATCGCTGCAAAGGACGCAGAAGGAGCAGCCCTAAGGGCACGACACGAGTGACTGATGTCAGTTTGCCCAGCATTCGCAGGAAGGTGATGTAGGGAAACTCCCTGCCCAGTCTGAATCGACGGACAAGCTGGAGTATGTCGTCCACCCTGTGAACAGATGGACGGGCCATCATGGTAGCAGAGTCCAGATGCATCCCAAGAAAGGTGGTTGTCTGAGATGGAACCAGACAACTCTTTGCCAAGTTGACTTTGAGGCCTAACATTGACACATGAAGTAGAAGCTGGGACGTATCCCGAGAGGCAGCTACCTGAGAGGGAGCACAAAGAAGCCAATCGTCCAGGTATGGCAGAATCCTGACTCCGGAGGCCTGTAGAGGAGAGAGGGCTGCTTTCACGCATCGAGTAAACACCCTCGGGGAAAGGGAGAGCCCGAATGGGAGCACCCGGAATTGCCAATGGCGCCCCCGATAGGCGAACCTGAGAAAACGGCGATGTTCTGCCGCAATAGGCACGTGAAAGTAGGCGTCTGTCAGATCTACTGATGTAAACCAATCTCCCGCCACAATGGTCTGAAGGACCTCTGTTATGGTGAGCATGTGGAAGGGAAGGACCTTCAAGTACCGATTCAGTCCCCTTAGATCTAAAATGGGGCGAAAACCGCCGGTCTTCTTGGCCACAAGGAAGTATGTGGAGTAGTAGCCTCTGGGTTGCTGCACAGGATCTACAGACTCGATTGCCCCCTTGCCCAGGAGGGCGGAAAGCTCCTGGTCTAGTGCCTGAGATTTCACCGGGTCTGTGATGACAGTCATCTTGACCCGGTGTGAGAGGGAGGGCCGCCGTCGGAACTGGAGCCTGTAGCCATTGGTTAAGGTGGCAACCACCCATGGATCTACGGCATGAGCAGCCCAGAAATTCAGCTGCTGATGGGAAAAATGTCCGACGGCTGGCCCGGTGGCATCATCTTCTATCCCCACGGCCCCTGGGGGCTCTGGGGGGAGGGCGTCCAGGATTTGAGGCCCGGGTCTGTCTAACAGGGCGGCAGACTGGCTCACGAAAGTCCCTTCTCGGTCTCTGCCGCACATCATGGGGATAGGAACCAACAGGTCTGCCACCGGTCTGAGGTCGTGGCTGAACGCTGGGGGTAGTGGCAGGGCGGCCCGAACGCTGGGGAAAGGCAGTTATGCTCCTGCGAAGGCCGGAAAGCTGCTGGCTAGTCTGACGTGCCTGAGCAGTCCGTTCCAGCGCCTCCAAGGCAGCTGATCCAAACAGCTCCCCTGGTACAACCGGGACACCCCTGAGGGTCCTACGGCATGCTTCAGTCAGAGGAGACTGTGCCAACCAGACCTGTCTACGAGCTTGGACAAGGAAAGACATGACCCGTCCAAGCTCTCTGGTCATCAGCACGAAGGCCTGCAGCGCTGCGTCACTATAACCAATCGCCGCACTTGCACCACCAGTGTCCTGAACAGATGCAGACAGGGCAAACATGAGGTGCGCCAGGGAATTGCCAAGGCGGCCAGCACGCGCTCCTGCATTGTACGCCTTACAGAGGAGGTCATCTGTAACCCGACATTGAGTCCGCGGGCACCGGACATCAGGACGCAGGGCTTCATCTGGTGACACAATCAGTGAAGCAACAGCTGGTTCAATTGCTGGCATACGGTCCAGGCCGGCCTTCACTGACTCATGCATGGCAGCTAATACACGACCATCCGAGGAGAGACGCGACAGCGCTCTCGGTTCCCGCCAACAGGCGTGTAACTCCTTCAGGTACTCCTCTGATGGAGGTACAGAAAAAGGAGTAGGAGCCCTTCCACGTCTGAAAAAAGCACTGCCAGAGCTGGATGCCTCTCCTTGTGGGAGTTCCAGCTGCAGCTGCTTCAGGGCCATAGACATGACCTCCCGCATGGAACCGTCACCGGCCTCTCCAACCGCACTCTGAGATGAAAATGAACCAGCCTCAGAGGCTTGAGAGGACCCTGCCTCCTCCTCATCTCTAAAATGAGAAGCGGAGGCAGCCAGAGAGATAACGTCATCCTCTACAACCAGCTCGGGCATTGGTGGGGAAGAGAGCCCAACCACTGGGAGCGAGGGATCAGATTGCCGTGTCTGCAACAAGGACTTCATCTCTGCCAGCTCTGCTGACAACTGGTCCACCCTTGTGGACAGGCCCTGGTCAGGTTTGGCCCGCTTCCTCCGGGGGAGGGGCACAGATGCTGTGGTCCCACCACGGCGCTTAGAACGCTTGGGGGGAACCACCTGCCCAGAGGGCGGAAGGTCCGAGCCCTCCTGGGGGCACAACTGGGCCAACCGGGCCACCCTCACTGCATGGGGCATAAAGCTGCAGTTCATACAGGGGTTCTCAGACAGCGCCTCCAAAAGGTGCTCATGTCCAAGGCAGGTAGGGCACAGGTCGTGGCCATCCTCTGCCTGCAGGGCAGCCCCACAATCTATGCAGCTGTGAGAGCCATCCATGTCGAAGGCCGACAAGGCTTAAAGAACAGAAAGTTATCGAAAATCGGGAGAGGGGGCGCAAACGCAGCCGTCACCAATTACAGCAGAGAAACGAAAGAGGCTGCGAGCACAAGGCAGCCGATACTGGGAGAGGGGGCGAGAACCGCTACCGTCACCAGGTATAAAACCAATAAACCAAAAAAGCTAACAACGTTAGCTGTATGGAAACTTAAGTTGGAAGTAGGAGCGAACAACGCTGCCGTCACCAATTATAGCGGATAAAACAAGAGAGGCTGCGGACACAAGGCGGCCGATACCGGGAGAGGGGGCGAGAACCGCTACCTTCACCAGGTATAAAAGCAATAAACAAAAAAAGCTAACAACGTTAGCTGTATGGCAACTTAAGTAGGGAGTAGGAGCGATAAACGCTGCCGTCACCAATTAAGAGAGCAGACCAACGAAAAGGCTGCAAAAAAAGGTTGATATTGGGAGAGGGGGCGAAAACGCTGCCGTCACCATTTATAATTAAGCAGACCGATGAAGAAGGCTGCAAACAAACCAAAAAAGGCTAACAACGTTAGCCGTCTCCAGCTTCGGCAACGAAGTAGACCACACTTGGTTGGGAGAGGGGGCGAAAACCGTGGCCGTCAGTAATTATAGCAGCGCAGACCGGTGAAAAAAAGGATGCAAAAGTAGGGAATATACTGGGAGAGGGGGCGAAAACCGCTGCCGTCACCAGATATAACACCAACAAACTAAAGAAGCTAACTACGTTAGCCGTATATAACTTCGGCAGTGAAGTTATTCACACTGGGAGTAGGGGCGAAAACGCTGCCGTCACCAGTTCGGAACAAAACAGCACGAAGCTGTAGGTAAAAAGCTAAAGTCGTGAGCCGGGAGAGGGGGCGCGGACGCTACCATCACCAGCAAACAACTCACTTACCTTCCGTAATCTTCAGAATCGACCCGTTGCAGCCCTGGGAGGGCGGAGAATAACCGCAACTCCGGTCAAGAGACAGGGGCTTCAGACAACGGGGAAGTTAGCGAACCGCTTGCGAGAAGAAAAAAGGAGCAGAGCAAAGGATGACACCAGGCTATATAGCTTCTGAGTGGTCATCCGGTGTCACAGGTGTGACTCTGTTGGTATAATTACTCGAACTGCGCATGCCCGAAGGGAACATTCAGTGCTTTCAGCACCGCCCTCTGGCGGTCAGTAGGGATGAAATAGAACTCATCCACACCTACAGACAGTAAACAATGTTCACTCTACCAACCGCCACTTACTGTAGAAAAATCCTACTGGACCTTAAGATATTTAAAATGTGTGTCTTATTGCTAAGAATCTGGGACAGTGGCTTTCAAATGAAATGACAAGATTTTGTTTCATATGAAAAGAGGAGTACACGACTGAGCATCAATGTAGTCACTTCTCCCCTTGGTGCAGGAAATAGGTTTTTGCAGCTCCTCTCCTGGATGAGTCCATACTAGGTGGAGCTCCCACAACTTCTTAATAGGATTTTGCATCACAACCCCCTCAGTATAGCAGCTGTTCCTGCTTGCGCACTTTTTTGTAACAATTTTTTTCCTTCCACGTAACCCTCTATTCATATAAAATATTTCATATGAATAGAGAGTTAATTCTTTGAGAGTTAATTCCAGCTTATGCAGCTGATGCAGTAACTCTGGTCAGTCAGTGTTTCCATGTTGTTTCCATGTTTCCCCAGGGGTGTTTGCCACTCGCTCCTTCTCTAAATTACGCTCCCATTCCAATTTTGTCACTAGTTGCACCAGCTCCATATTTATCTAAAGCGAAGTGGACCGTTCAGGCTGGATATCAGTTGATTAAGAGCAAAGTGGAGCTGATGTTTATTGCATTTTCTGTACTTCTATGTAACAATTTCTGTTCATATAGTTAATTAACAGCATAATAATAAACATAGGCATTGAATTAAAGAAATGGCTGAGACAAAAGATTTAAACTCGCTCATAACAGATCAAAAGAAAACAATGTGATTAGGTAACGAGCAGACACTCAAGATGCTGATAATACTGGCCAAATAACCACCATATTCATTTATTGTTCCATTTAAGGCCTACAAGTACACTGCTATAGCGCAATGACACAATCCTGGCCTGATCCAAGTCCAACCAGGGAGGGTCGCTCCCTTCTCCCGGTGAAATAATCTGCCTGGCAGCGGGCGTGGCACAGCGGCGCTTCTTCCAAATACAGTGGACCCTGGTGTTATCATCATCAGGCGTTAATGATAAACTGAAGATCACAATTCTACCCTATTATGTCGTTTATAACTTAGCATTAATGTAATAGTTACGTATTACATAATCATATGTTATGTTCCCTTTTTCTGAGGAAATTTATCCTGTTTCAAATACGAGCTATAATCCAAAATGATGAAAGGTAACAGGAAAAAAAAAAAAAACACCTGAAATACAACATTCTGTGAACGACACATATGGTTTGTTTGTTTCACCCGAGTTAATGAAATCAAAATAATGGTTAGCCGTATCCGCTAAAAGAAAACAAAAACAATGTTTACCTTTATCGGCCTCATTCTTTTGTTTCTTGCCAGAAGTTTTAGACGGTACATCATCATTGTGGGTCTCTTGGTGGTTGGTGGAAGCTGTTATATCGGCCAAAATATGGGTGTCTTCAACTGCAGGTTTGAAGCAAAAATTATCTTTTAGAAAAGGGTGCCTCATGTTAACCATTGAGCCTTAAAGAACTCAAACTGCCACTCATTTGCTCATGTTTACCATGCTCTGTCTTCTGCTTTTTGGCAGAGTTTTTCTTTTTTCCAGTTGCAGCACTTGGGTTGACACCATCCAGAACTTTGGGTTCAGCCACAGCAGGAGCATCCTTTTTGCTTGGGACAGGAGCTTGTTCGGCTTTCACCTCAAGCTGCTGTATGTCTGCTGTAAAGGAAAAGATGGAGGGAGAGGAAATATAAAGCTTTAAATGCTCTCTGTAGGGGTGAAAATCCCTCTTATCTACTGACCTGATTCCACTTTCTGCTTCTTCCTGTCTCTTTTCTTCCCAGAGGTTTGTGGAGGAGTCTGAGTTTGAATGGGAGCCTGGACAGCTTGGACCTGAACCTGCATCTCCATTTGTAAAGAGGTTGGGCTCACTTGTTTGCTAGCAAGTGGAGACGGTTCTCTCTTGTTGTTGACTGGCTTTGAGTCATTTATTTCTGACTCCTCTAAGTGGGAGGCTGCCGCCAGAGCAGCAGCAGCGGCGGCAGCAGCAGCAGCTTTGGCAGCCTTTTTCTCCTTTTTCTTCCGTTCCCTTAAACCAGAAGGAGCCTCTGAAGAGGCTGAGATTTCAGCAGAAGGTGCAGGTGGCGATGGGTCCAGGGTAACCAATGGTTCAGGTTCCTCCTCTGCCTCCACATTGGGGCTGAGACCATCAGACATGTCAAAATCCCGCAGGTCCTCTTCAGATTCTCCTCCACCACCACCACCACTTCCCCCACCAGAAACTTCCTTCCTCTTGCTTTTCTTCTTTTCGTTCTTCTTACGAGAGTCTGGCTTGGCCGATGGCAGCTTGAGGTCTCGTTTCTGCCGAGCGAGGACTTCATCATAAGAGGTTTCCTTCATGAAGAGCCAGAAGAAAAGGAACATGAGGGCGATGACCAGGGAGGGGGCCAGGATGAGAAGGTACTGAGAGTCGTAGATATCAAGCGCCATTCTAAAGGAAAGGAAGAAAACCATTACTGAGCCTTTAGACGTTATAGCACAAGATGGACCTAATGATTTCATCTCACCCTAAAAAGAAAATCCTACGGGTCCTAAAGTGATGATTTCAATTATGACAGACGTTTCCCTGCAGTCTGCATGGGCATCTTTGGTTACAAAAGTTTGAAAATCTTTGTAACCAAAGATTAAAAATAGAAAGCTTGCTCCTTGGTTTAATGCAGAGCTGCGTACTTTGAAGCAAAATGCTAGGAAACTGGAGAGAAAATATCGCTCCACAGGCCTGCGAGAGTCCTTCCTAGTCTGGAAAAATGGTTTACTGCTGTATAAGAGGACCCTTTGTAAAGCAAGAGCAGCATACTTCTCCTCATTAATAGAGGAGAATAAGAATAATCCTAGATTTCTTTTTAATACAGTTGCCAAACTCACCCAGAGCCATAGCTCTGTTGAACCGTCCATTCCACCTGCTCTTAGCAGCAATGACTTTATGGGATTCTTTATAAATAAGATTGATCTTATTAAAAATAAGATCATAAGCACTCCTCTATCCGCGATTGTACCTGAGGTAGTCATGGATCCTGAACTGGGTTTAGACTGCTTTGATCCAGTTGAACTCTCTGAATTAGCAAAATTATTGTCTTCATCTAAGCCTTCAACTTGTATGTTAGATCCAGTTCCAACCAGGTTATTTAAGGAGGTATTCCCTTTGATCTCCTCCTCCATTTTAGATGTGATTAATCTATCTCTGTTACAGGGATATGTACCTAAAGCTTTTAAGGTTGCTGTAATTAAACCTCTGCTTAAGAAACCGTCTCTTGACCCAGATGACTTGGTCAATTATAGACCTATATCCAATCTTCCTTTCTTATCCAAAATTCTTGAGAAAGTAGTTGCCAAACAAGTTTGCGATCACTTCCACCATAATGAACTTTTTGAAGAGTTTCAGTCTGGCTTTAGAGCTCATCATAGCACTGAAACAGCTCTGGTGAAAGTCACTAATGATATTCTCATGGCCTCAGATAATGGACTTGTATCTGTGCTCGTCCTGTTGGATCTTAGTGCTGCATTTGATACAGTTGACCATAATATTCTTTTAGAAAGACTTGAATATTTTGTTGGAATTAAAGGAACAGCACTAGACTGGTTTAAATCTTATCTATCTGATCGAATTCAGTTTGTTCATGTTAATGATAGATCTTCAACACGCTCAAAGGTTACCTGTGGAGTACCACAGGGATCAGTGCTAGGACCAATTCTCTTTACTTTATACATGCTCCCAATTGGTAGAATTATTAGACAGCATGGGATTAATTTCCACTGTTATGCTGATGATACCCAGCTATATCTGTCTATAAATCCAGATGAAGCTAACCCATTACATAGATTACAGGCATGTCTTGAAGACATAAAAACCTGGATGACTCTTAACTTTCTGCTTCTGAATGCAGACAAAACAGAAGTTATAGTCTTTGGACCAGAGTCTCTGAAAAAGAAACTGATTAGCCAGTCACTTCATTTGGATGGGATTAAACTGATTTCAGATAATAAAGTAAAAAATCTTGGTGTTGTTTTTGATCAGGACCTGTCATTTAGGTCCCATATCAAGGAGGTTTCTAGAATTTCCTTCTTTCATCTGAGGAACATTGCAAAAATTAGAAATATCCTGTCCAGGGGTGATGCTGAGAAACTAGTCCATGCATTTGTTACTTCAAGGCTGGACTATTGTAATTCTTTACTATCAGGAAGTCCACAAACTGTAGTTAAAAGCCTTCAGCTGATCCAAAATGCTGCAGCCAGAGTTCTAATGAAAATTAAAAAGAGAGATCATATCTCGCCTATCCTGGCTTCTCTTCATTGGCTTCCTGTTAAATCAAGAATAGAATTTAAAATCCTCCTTCTCACATATAAAGCCTTAAATGGCCAAGCTCCATCTTATATCAGAGATCTGATTGTTCCTTATGTTCCTAACAGAGCACTTCGCTCTCAATCTGCAGGTTTACTAGTGGTTCCTAGAATTTCTAAAAGTAGAATGGGAGGCAGATCTTTTAGTTATCAGGCTCCTCTCCTGTGGAACCAACTACCAGTTTTAGTCCGTGAGGCAGACACCCTGTCTACTTTTAAGGCTAGGCTTAAAACTTTCCTTTTTGATAAAGCTTATAGTTAGAGTGGCTCAGGTTATCCTGAGCTATCTCTATAGTTATGCTGCTATAGGCTTAGACTTTTGGAGGACATAGGGACCCCCATTTCATCATTCTGCTTCATTCTCTCTCTGTTCTCCTATTCTGCAGAATCTGTTAGTTCAATCTCTAACCTTCTGCTCTCTCTGCTTTTCCTCAGAGTAGCTTTGCCTCGTCTGTTCCTGTTTGGCTGTGACGTCATCCTGGAAAGAAACATCAGCTGTGCTGCTTCTATCAACACCCTTGTTTATAGATGTTGGAGATCGGCCTGTTTTCCAGTGTGGTCCTGTTTCTCTGACCGTGACTGAGTGGATGTGCTTTCTTCGTCCTCTGGCATGGGAGCTGCCTTGGAGCTCGTCTGCCTGGCTGTGTGTTTCCTGGACGGGGCCGCCTTTTACAGCTGCTTTTTGTATCTCTGCTTCTGTCTCCTTGAACCCCAGTCGGCCTCGGCAGATGGCCGCTCACACTGAGCCTGGTTCTGCTGGAGGTTTCTTCCTGTTAAAAGGGAGTTTTTCCTCTCCACTGTCGCTACAAGCATGCTTAGTGTGGGGGATTGTATTTGAGTCAATGAGTCAATGCAATCAACTGGTTTTCCTTAGATAGAAAACTTTGTATCAATTTGATCTGGTTGAACTGTAAAGTGCCTTGAGATGACATGTGTTGTGAATTTGGCGCTATATAAATAAACTGAATTGAATTAAAACAACTTCAGAAAAATTAGTATATTACAGACACACTGATGTGATGTCCCCCGTTAAGCTGCAGAGAAACGATTAACTTTTCATAACCAGTAAGGATGTTTTAGTATTTGGCTTATTTTCCGCTTCAATCAGAGATGGTGCAGTTCCATTAACCCAGTTGGATTCACAATTTAGGACAGTCCTGTTTGGAAATCTGTGTTCAAGAATCCCCCATGTCATGTTTGAGTCAGGATTAAATTCAAAAGAGAAATCAAAACCCTGGTCTCTGCCAAATGTAATCAACTTCCTCTTCCCTGTGAAATATCCAGGCAGAATTATGCCACAAATCGTCTTTGGTAAAAGAACAATTTTCTAAGGAACATCCATAGTAAGAGGAATAGAAGTGAGTGTATATAGTAGAGCAAAACCTGCAGTAAATTGAACCTGCACCAAATTCTCTAAACTTTTTTTATTTTTGCACATTCATCCTAAATAAATTTCAAATGAATATACATAAAATGCTAAAAAAGTTCATACTGATAAAGAGTGTTAAAACATCAGCACTGTAGGTATTTAGTATGCCATTTGTTTTTGGATCACTAGTCTTTTTCTAAATAAATATGGACGTCTCCATGTGTGGTGGGTGTCGAACTGACCTTACCCTATCCTATCTTACTTAGTGATATGATCCAATTAGAGCACACTGCCCCTGCCAGACAGCTCAACATCCTCTTTACAATACATTAAGTTTGTAGAGGGAACCAGAAATGTTAGCCATGTTCTGAATATCTTTTCGGGAACATGAACAAAATGGGTTAATAACACAGAAATGGGGAAAAAGACTAAAAGGAAGACGTCTTACTTTCCCATTTAGCCACTTCACCTCCATTCACACCCTCTAAAGACAAGCCTCCGGTGTTCTTAACTTACATTAGATTGGATTTGAGAGGAGCAAAAATATATCCACATGCAAGCGTCAGAGGCTGAGCTTTGCTCCAGCTGTAAACTTGGCACTTTGGTCCTTAAAGCCAGAGGAGAGGACATCCATCTGACACTGCATATTATGCATGTCTGGGGACATAATGCCCTCAAACATCATTTTTAGATAAGTGTTGTATAATTGAGTTATTTTTTGGATTACAATTTTGAGAAAAATTCAGCTGTGAATTGGCTAATCAAAGAAAGGCTGAAACGTTGATACAGATCAATGTAAAAAAGGAAATTCTATTTGTTATATTTTAGATTATAAAGGAGGGATTATTGTTTGGAAGCTAAAAAAATTCTCCCATCTTAGATGGTATTTTTAACCTGGTTATAAAGAGGTAGAAAAGGACAGTTTTTCCATGTCAATGAAAAAAACTAGGGATATAAGAGGTACCTACAAATGTTTGGATATTTCACTTTTACTTGTTAACATTACAAATTTCCCTGTTTTAATTATGTCAGATGTGTCTTTTAGGAAAGACAAGCATCTACAAAAGAATCCATACACCAACATGAAATTAAGGCCTCATATTTAGAGAATGGGCACCAGTTGTTTTAGCACTGTGCTTTCAACAGCGCAGATACCGATGAGAATTGAGCTGAAATTCTGACAATCCAGCCAGGAACTGTGTCTGATAATCAGTATAGGAGTCAGTGTCGTAGAGCAGGCCTTTAGTAATTTGGATTAAGAAGATTACCCATGATAATAGATTTAAGAATAACTTCCCACTGCAGGGCTTCCTGAGCACAGACAGGCTTAGTCTCACAGTGCAGCAGCAATTGTGTTTCAATCCTCAACTCGGGCTTTTATTTGTTCGATACCAATTTTCCTTAAGGTCCGACCTTTTGATTCTGATTTGAAACAACTAGAAAAGATTATCATCCAAGCACATACAGCTGTTATCAGAATGCCATCTATAAAAAAAAGGTGCCCTGAAATTCTGGATTCATTGCATTAAGATGCATTTGATTAAAGCAGAAAAAAAGAGAAGAAGTCTGATTTTTAAGTATGACAATCAGTGATTTATTATAGCTGTTCATAAAATATTTATACGGTTCTGATCTCTGGCTGACCTATAATTTCACCAAACTTTGATTCAGGAGTGCATTGCATTCTGGGGGATGTAGGCAGAGAAAAGGTCTCTCGGTCTATCATGGCCAAGCTACGCAAGGTTGTACAGCTCACCTCCTTTTAAAGGTTATGTTTAAATAAGGTTAGGATTACATTACATTTTTTTTCCCCATCTATTATTAATATCGGATATCAGCCCGCTGTTCGCCATAAAATAAAATTGGATTTTATTGGCCGGCATCTAAAATCTCCGACGTTTTCATGTTGTTCGAAACACTAATTCTGTTCAAAGTTTCTGCAACTCATTGGTTGATTTTACATGAGTTAGTTGTTTTCTCATCTTTAGTTGTTCAATTTTGTTCTCTGTTTTAGTAATATTCTTGATAAAGACTTATATTTTGAAGCATTTTACAGAACAAACTAAGTGATAGAAGCTGGTATATTTCATGCTAACATTGTATCGGGTCAATATCGGTATCGGCCAATTCTCAAAGCTGAAATATCAATATCGGAAATGAAAAAGTTGTTCAAGACACCCATGACTTTTTATTGATTTCAATATTAAAGGCCTTTAAAAAAAAAAGTCCTTTTAAGGCAACCACGATCTAGTTTTATTTACAGCTTGCAATAGCAAGCTGTAAATAAAACTAGATAATCAAACTCCAACAAAAGAAGGAATCTGTCTTAATATTTGTTATAACAACACTTAACACTTTAAAATCTTTAAAACTGTACTTCCTGTAATGTAAATTCCTCAAAGCTCTCAGTAAGTCTTGAAGCAACATTTATTCTTGGCACACAGAGAATGGGTGGAGGAAGTGCTGTTAAGGTTTCAGGCCTGTTCTCTTTCGTTTTTCTCATCTCACTTCTTCTCATTCCTGGGAATTAGAATGGAGGTTTCAAGTGTTCCCTTATGGAGCTCGAGCCTTGTTCCAGCATCAAAATGAGCCTCGAGGACAAAGCCCTCTTGGGCTGTTGGCTCCCTGGAATCTACCCACTTGGCTGGCCAGGCCTGCTGATTTGGCAGGCAAGGACAGTGAGGCAAGCCCTGATAACTATCATGCCTCAAGCCCAAAACAAGACTGAACAACAATCTTAAGATAATGTTTCTAAGTTGACAGCAAGCTGATTAAAATAAAAAAAAAGGTTGAGTGAAAAAAAAAATAAAATTTTTGATTAACCTAAGAATATGAATTGAAAGTAATTCCAAAGGAATTGAAAGGAATCTGCTTTTGCAGATGATCACCATCAGAACAGATGCAACGAGGTCTCTAAATTACTCCGATAAATTAAAAAGGCATTTATCTTTGCAAGAATAATGATTATAATATTAAACACTACAAACAAACCAATATGACTGTAATAACCCTTTATAGGCCAAGTTACCATTTTTGATCAATTGCATTTGACCAATAAGATCAGTGCTTGAATGATATATTACCCACTGTAAATTAAGTTGAAAGAAACAAGTCAAGAAAAATGGGGTAAAAAAGCACTTATGCTATTTTGTTTTTAAACATATTTGGGCAAGTTGGTGTTTCTTGTTATTACATTGAAATTAATTTCTGCCATCAAAATATCCATATTTTTTTAATGTTACAAAGGTAATAAGGTCTTGTCCCAGATTCCAATAACGCTATTGGCTTGAAATTTTGATTTACAAAGTATTTTACTCAGTGCCCTCTAAAGGGATAACAGTTTTTTTGTGCTTCTTTGTTTTAAATACAGGCAATCACATATTATACAATAATGTCCTTAAGTTTAATGCAAACACTTTTTATACTTTAATGTTTTCCCATTGGATGAAAGAAACAAAGTGTACACATGAAAATTTCTCTCCATAAATCAGTATCTGAGTGTTTCAGAGAACCTTTGCAAATCAGTACAAGTGCTTTCATTTTTTTGCTCATCCAAATCAGGCTGTAAATCAATGCAGTCCTTGAGATATACGCAATCAGTAGATAGGCCTGAGATAGAGAGAGACAATAAGACAAACATCCTCAGTCAGGATGGAGGGGACATCCAGTTTTAGTGCTGGAAGTGATTCTAAACCTGTCACCAAATAGATCCTGTAAGAGATTTATTAGAAGAGTCCAAAGTCCTACAAGCATCAAAAGTGGTTCAACTGGTCTAAATGTCAATGGGACACCCAGTGTGAACATTTACAGATATTCTGGGTTTGGCAGCACAGGTGCCACTCAGTGTAAATGCCAGGAATAGTTTACAGTAGCTCAACTTGTATTTGACACAGGGTGGTATCCTTTACGCCACCTCAGCACTCACAGGTGGAGCCTGCTTGGTCATGCTGAACATAACCCGCAGGGCGAGTAAATGGCAGCTGGCTGCAGGCCACGTCAAAAGCCGCCCCCCCATCCTGAAATGAACCAATTATAAAAGGGGCTTCCTGAAGCCTGACAGAAATTAGTCATCAGAAGCAGCATGCTCTCAACCTCACCTCTCCAAAATGTCTTAATAGAGCCTCTCCTTTGATCTGGACGTGATGTTATAATGAGTGACCTCACTTTCTATATTCACTTTAAGTTCAGAGAGATCCCAGCTCTGCAGTGTGGTTGAGCTAGCTTACAGAGCTAACCAATGGCTGACTGCAATCAATGCTAGCCGGTCAGTCACGTTAAATACACCGGAAATACCTCACATTTTAAACGAGCTGACCGAGCCAGGCATTAAGACATAAGAGAGGGGTGCTTGTTCCTCCCCAAAGGAGTCGACCTGCGCCCTGACGGGCCTCGTTTGCTCGTAGTATCCCAGCCTCCTTCTCTAGAAATCTCTGACCCGGCCGGTGCTCAATGCCCCCGCTCTTCCGCTGCGGCCCGTTCCCAGGCCTGCGTGATAAGCTAAAGAGCAGCTCTGACCGGGACAAGTAGCTTCCCTCACACAAAAATATCCCCCCAACATCCAATGAAACAGCAGCCTTCTGAATACCTGTGGCTTCGGTTGGCAGTTCCCCTAAGCTGGTGGTGAAATGGCGTAGTTCTGCGTTGACTCTGACAGACTCCCGACTTCCCAGGGCAGCAGCTCCAGCCTGGCTTTCTCCTGCGCTCTCCACTCCGTCACACTGTGCTCTGCTGTTTCTGGTCTGCGGGGGCGGGTCATAAGCAGCCTGACAGGGGAGCACTCGATTTATGTACCGACGTACACCGAGAGCACCTCCTAATACAGATGCTTTCCATCGACTTAACCTGTTAGTTAATAGCATTCACAAATTAAACGCAGATATAATATAAAAATATATTTAAAAGAATGATCATGTTAAGATCTACACATGCTTAATAAAGAGAGTAAGCAATATAAGAAGCTACTAGTTTCTACAGTGCTACATACAAGAATGTTTGCTAGAAAGTTTAGTGGAAGGATAATCACCCTCATAGGGTTGTGATTTAAAGTCTATTCAGAAGTGTGGAGTAGATTGAGGAGTTGAAGGGTGATGGAGTCAATAATTAAAGAATCACCAAACTCACTTACACATGGAATCAGATCACACAAGCATCTCCTAAACTAGACAGTCTTAGAAATATTTTTTTAATAAAAGAAAAAAAATGAACAAGCCTTTGGTGGATAAAAGTATTTTTAGGGGATAAAAGAACTTTTAGAAGAAAAACTTTTGTTTTATTTAATTATTTTGGAGGGTTCAGTATTGTTACGTTAATGTCTCTCAAATAATTTTTGTAAGCTATAAACCCAGAAACATCAAATAAAAAATGAGAATAAATGAGGGAAATATATTACTGTGCTTTTCAGATTTACTGTATTTTATTTGATTTCACCCTTTGGGCTGAAATGAATTACTTTCTTACAGTTACGATTTATTTTGTCATATTGTATACACATTTCATTTTTTAAAGTTCAGCCTTGATTATTAAGCAGCAGTTGTTGTTGAGCTGCTACTACTGCCTCCAGCTCCTGAAGCACTCGCTTCTTCTGGCTCAGGGGAGGAAGATGATGACATTGCTGTGAGGGTGGTAGCCGTCTGGGTTGAAGAGGCCGACGTGGTTGAAGCAGCAGTGGTGCCATCGGCAGGTTTAGCAGCGACAGAGGATGCTGGAGAAGATGTGGAAGCTGGAGGGGGCCGGGAGGAGCCGGCTGGGGATGATTCAGCATTTGGCAGGGGAGCATCTTCCATGTATTTTAATTAAAATACATTTTGAGATCTATTACACAGAAACTAACCGGCATTTTTGTATGATTTTATTTAAATAATCTTTCAAAGCTATATTTAGTAAAATATTGTAAATGAGCCAAATGCTTTTTGAACAATTGCTAGTTCACTTACCAACATAGTTTGAATATAAAAAGCGGGTAAAGTTAAACTTAACTCTGTCATTTACTTTAACTGCTGAGTGCCAAGATATGATTCTTTTGTGCAGATAGATTTTCCATTGTTGTTTTTTGTTTTCTTGTTTCATATTCTGCTGAAATTTAAATAATATATATTAATTAAAAATGTATGTATTTCTTTTGTCATTTTGTCAGGCAATGTTTAAAATTGTAAATGGTAAATGGCTTGTACTTGCATAGCACGTTTTTTAGGTCAGGAAACTTGACCAAAGCACTTTGTCTTTGAGAAGAGTTCATAGTTCTCACCTTACGACCTGTGTAATCAACGCATATTTTATGGATAAACCTTGTGTGACCGTTTATTTTCATCATGAGAAAGAATCTGTTCATTAAATATCTCTTTTACAACAATTTAACAGAAATACACAATAAGACAAACTATTATAGTAATAAAGGTGTGTTTTCCTTTCTAAACAGGATAACCTATCAAATAAATAATGAATATATCTATCTGTTCTTTACAACTGCATGTATTTGAGTGGAAGAATAGACCCTGGACAGTTTACAGCTCAATCAAAGCACAACAGAGTTACATAAACAACCAAGAGACACATATAACCTAAGGAAAATGTATAATTACCAATTAACAATCAATGGAGAAATGTATTTCTTGTATTCGTCTCCCTTTTTGAAGGACAGAGTCCTTCATTCCTTCCAGTCACATACTGGCTAATCCCCGGAGTCTGTGGGTCTTGCTGGGCTTGCAGCCTGCAACTCCGCCTCATACTGCCTCTTCAGTCCTTTCAGATACATGCGCAGGCTCTCTGGGTCAAGTCTTGAATTTCTGGCAGTCTGCAATAGGCGAGTGGCCAGGCGGTACACTGCTCTCTGTCTCTGTGTTTCTGGATCAGTGGGATATTTGGCCTGGAAATGACAAATAGAAGCCAACTAAAGGTTTAATGTTAGACTCTATAGTTTCATGTTGTGTTGCACTTTTAAAAGCAAGAATGCGTCGTCTTTAGAGTATAAAACAGAAAGCTTTTGCAGCATACTGATGTAGGGATGCTTTCCTGCAGCCCGATCACTGCTGATGGGAATAGAGCTAGAAAGCTGGCAATCATGGAAAATTGATGTCTAGAGTCACATCAGAACAAAGTTCTGATTTTTATTGTTAAAACGATACCATTTTCTATCCGGTACAAAAAATGTAAAAAAAAATTTTTTTCATTGGTTATATACAATAGCAATGAAAGACATTATTATCAGTCATTGTCAAGTAAAAAGATTTTGAACACTTTTAAAAAACCTTTTCAAAGCAGGGTAAGAAAAAGCAATATCTAAATCTGATCTTTGTGAATATTACCAGAAGCTGCTGGCTGATTTTAGAGGCCATTGACTTCGCCTCTTGGATTATACTAGGAGGAAGTGAGGTCATCTCAGCGGCTCTCAGACCTAAAAATAAGGGCACCGGGATCACTGTCATAGCAAGCTTCAACAAAACTCCTAAAATACACTGACTGGTTACCATAGTGCTTTTCCTCATAGCACCCTCGACTCAGCAGATATGTATACACCACTTGCTCTGTGCCAGAGTCTCTGCTGCGTGTGTGCTGAACCTCCATGTGCTGGTTTTCCACGTTAGGATAGAGAGACTCCAGCTGACAGAGCTCTAAAAAGTGTGTAGCAAACAGAGTGAAGGCCTGCAAAGAAAAGAAAATAACAGGACACACCTTCAAGTTTAAAGCATTTATTAAGCGAGCGGCTTTCCTTTTGTTCTGCTGCGTCATGTTGACCAGGGAGGCATACTTTAAACAATTAGAAAGGACTTAGAAGTCTAATGAACACCAAAGGAATCTGAGTTGTCTGGTTTTTAATTCTCAAATAGGAGCGGCTGAGCTCAACTTTGCTGACATGTGCTTTACCTTTAGGCCAAGGAGGAACTCACAAACTGCATGACAGATTCCAATGCCTTCCTCAGCACTAGTGCCACGCCCCAGTTCATCTATGATGATCAGTGACCTGTCACTCGCATTGTGTATAATATACGAGATCTCAAAGGAATGAAACAAACAATGTTATAGGGATTAAGCACTCCTTTTAATTACCGGTATTACGTGAACAATTGTGTGCCATCTTTGTGCAAAAACAACAACCTACCTCCTTCATTTCCAACATGAAGGTGGAGCAGTTGGTTTCAAAGTCATCATCAACACCAATTCTGGTGAAAATCTGATCAGCGATCCGGAACGAGGCATACTCCGCTGGGACGAAAGAGCCTCGAAGAATCAAAACACAGGATTCATGATGCTTGGTGAAGTTAGGCACGCTGCATGGTTTATAAGGCTGGGATATTAGCAGCTGACCTATTTGGGCCATGATCTGACACAGCGCCACCTGTTTGAGGTATGTGGATTTGCCGCTCATGTTGGGCCCTGTTATGATGACAAAATTGCTGCCCTCGGAGATGTAGCTATTGTTCGAGACCGGCTGCTGTCGGGCCAGTCGCTCCAGAATGGGGTGACGACCTTGCTTTATGGCCAGGGTGTCTGTAAACTCTGGACGCACTGCCAGCCACAGAAGAAAAACACATACACGTCATTACAAGCTGCTGTTGGATTTTTCCTGCATATGACATATGTTTATGCAAATAAAATACTGTAAAAGCATCTGCAATGATCAGCACTGCTTTTAATCTAGGATGTATCAAAATTTATGGATTAGCTGCAGGAATATACACTGGGAGAAAACGGATAGATAAAAAAGCACTGGTTGCAGAGGGTTGGCGGCTGCAGTTGTCTCTGCAAATACAGCACATCAGTGAGAGCTTATGTAAGAAGGGTAATCTGAGTGCAAGCAGGCTGGGACAGAAGTGGGGGGGCAGGCAGTCAGCACGCATCAATGGAGAGACAGTTTCAGACAGCTGAGGGCCAGCAATCGCCACCCACGTGGGTGCTGGGGGTGGCGCTGCACACAAAAAGAACTGAGGCCAGCAGAGATTTAAGCCTAGTAGATCAGTTCACAGCTGTCTAATGGAGCCGCCCTCCCCGGGACAACAGATCAAACGTCATGAAGAGGACGGTATCTAGAACTTCACCAGAATGTGTGAAAAGTGGGATTTAACTACAAGCTATCTCACATCTTTTCACCTGAAACTATTTTTTTTTATTTCATTTTGGGCTAACACATTTGTAAAGAGGAAGGAAACAATAACAGATGGTTTAAAATTTGGTAGTTTATTTCCAAATACAAATCACTGTAGATAGACCAAGCCACAGCATTATGCTGCCACTGCCAGTTTTCACATTAGATGTGTTAGTTGGCACAGATTTGAGCTTGGATAATTTGTTTTTGTCCCACAGGACGGTGAACCTCTACCTTGCTCTAATAAGGGCTTGAACAATTAATTATAATAATTGTAATAAATCTAATATTGAAATCACCTGCAACTTATTTTGTAATTGATTAGTTGTTAAGTGGAGTAAACAGACATACAGATCTTAAAACATGCCATTTGCTAAAGTAACAACCATCCCAGAGCAGTAATCCCTATGTCACAACTGTATAATATTTATATTTATTTACATATTTTGCATTTCTGATTAAAAAAAAACTGTCCTTTGTCAGTAAATATTCTATACTCAGCAGAGATTCCTCGAATTGCCCATTTTTGGTCAAATTGGCTCAAAAAATTCTACTAGCCAATATTTTCTTTCCACGTATGAATTGGTTCAGGAGGTAAGGCCTTGTCCTGTACTCGGTGGGATGCTGGTTAAAATCCCCATACTGTTTGCATCAGCCCTTGCGTCCTTCACTCTCCTTAGTGGAAAGGTTCGCTTGTCAGTCTGCCACAGTGCAGCTGTGATTACCATGTTACTAACCAGCATCAGAGTGTGAATTACTGAAGGTAGTGTGAAGCACACTGAAGTCCTTACTCTAAACAGAAAGCTATATAAGTAAAGGTTATTTATCATTAACAGATTAATCAATTTGCAAAATAATCATTAAAAGCATTCCAAGTCTGAAAGCCTTTGTAGAAATGTCCTGTTTTAGATTCCATATATGTTTTCATCAACTCGGACCAGCGTCTATCTCTACTAAAGAAACGTATTCTCACCACACGATGCTGCCACCACCATGCTTTACCATGAGAATCTATTCAGGGTGAACTGAAGTGTTTTTGCCACACAGATAATTTTCCATTTCATCCAAAATTTTAGTCTTTTCTAAATGCTGATAAGGTTTTGGGTTCTATGTGACAAACTGTTATAAAGAGGAAAGGTGCATGAAGTGTCATTGAACTGGTTCATACTCACCATAATCTGAGATTGTGCATGCACTGGCCAGCGAGAGCAACATGTCCAACATGGAAACAGTGTCAGAGAGTTTATAAAGGCAGTGGATGTGCTCATGGATTCCGGTTAGCAGCTGGCATATCACCCTGTTAAAACACACAGGCATCATTAGTTATAAATAGCACCCTCTAGTGGACATTAACTGATTAAAGTTATTTTCTGCAAAACATTCCAAGATTGTGACTCGTTATTGTTTGAGTGACTAAGAAAAATACTGTGTAGCGTTATTAGAGCTTGAACACAATATGAGTTCATAGAAATATTTCAAAGCTCTGAAACGTCATAATAATCTTGGATAAATATGCATTAAATTAAATAAATACATGAGATTAACTTATCTAAATGTGATTTCTTTTGGAAAGAAAATACGAGCAGGAATAAATGTTTACTTATCAGTCAGTGCTGCAACATTTGCAAAAACATTTTCAAAAATGAATAGATAACAATTTTCTTACACATAAGACATGTGAAATATTTCCCTCAGAGCCTCATCGCAGCGTCCATTCATCTTTATTAGGTTTGCAGTAGTGAAGCTGTAGTTGTTCCTGTACTTACTGACCTGAAATAAAAGGTCTTCTGTTGGCATGGAGTCAGCTTAAGTGACTAATAATGTGTAAAGACATTTAAAGGTATAGTGGAGGATTTTTGACTTAGAAAAAAAAATGTACATGCGCAACCCTGTACCTGTTCTCAAGAGGGAACGCCTATTAAGGATGTGCAAGAGCATGCACAAGCCCATTTCTCCTCATGCGCGCTCTGTTTAAAAGGTGCTGTCTGCATTGCTCATACAAGCTTACTTTCCACTATGTCAGACTCACCATCATTAAGTGAAAATGTGGACGAGCACATAGGACGGCCTTACGTAAACATATCACCAGAATGATTGACAGTTAGGAGGACCACTTATTTAGATGATCCACCCATAAAAAGAACATCCTCCCTTATACCTTTAAGTCTTTAGAGGATCCTACCTTGATGAACTCTTGGGGGAGGATGCCCTCAGGTAAGACCACTCCATCCAGCTTCATCTGGATAAAGAACCCTCGAGACGTGCTGAAACTGGTGCGCAATGGTAAGCCGTATTTCTCCCCTAACTGGTTCACCAGTCCTGTACACAGGAATGAGACAGACACAGAGCCACCGGCTACAGATATAGCATTAAAACAATGCAAAAAGAGAGTTGCACTGGGTCCTCTGTCATGACCACCTGCAATGTCGTCTACAATCTCAGTGTAAACTCTGCGAGCAATGTCAAGGAACTCATTGATGTTGGGCCGCACAGCGTAACACTTCTGGGTCCGCATGTTCAGGCTGCCTTTTAAATACGTGGTGTCATCATTTACCACCGTCTTGATCTGTTCAAGGATCAACTCGAATCTGAGGGATACAGAAAGCATGCCCTGGTTCAAGAAAGTAAAGAATAGATAATATAATGTATGGCTCTAGCCAAATCTATTGGCACCGCGGTAAAGATGAGAAATAAGCTGGAAAAACAAAGATCTTTCAATGCAAAATCACTGTCTCACACCACATAAGTGGAATATATGGTCTTTAATTCGAGTACATTTATTCAGTGCAGATAAAATAGAATTTTAAGACATTTTCTTGCTTTTTGTTTTTTTTATTAAACTTTAACAACACATTTTTAATGTTTTTAATAATATCAAACCTTTTATGAACATCTACTGGGAAATCAAAGACTTTTTATTTTTCTTGGGGAACAGATATCATGTGATATTGGTCTATTTCTCTTAGCCAGAGGTCATTAGTCTGGATGAAGACCCGTATTTATCTTGTGCATAAAAGATCGTCATGGCAGCAAATCATCTCCAAAGTCTTTTTTCTGGAAAGTACTTTGAAAATTAATGTCTTGAGGGTCACAAAGTGTTCAAAGAAACCACTATCTACATGGCAGCTGGTTGTATCAAAGGTATCTAGCAACTCAACAACAACTGATGCAAAAACAGTTTCTCAACCATCACAAATTTGAAGACTCTACTACTGGAACTATAAATAAAAATTCTATTTACTTTAGACAGATGAAACTGAAATTTAGGTTTTTCTGCAACAAAAGCTGCAGCTCTGCTTATTGTTCCACAAAGGATGAATGTTTGGAAAATCACTTCATGTCCACTGCTATGTACTGTATGGTGGAGGATATGTGATGCTATGGGCTCTTTCTATGAAAAAAAGATCATTATCAGTTTTTCTTTAATCTTTCTTAAATTCTTCAATTATGGCTATTGCTATGGCAATTGGGTCCTATTCTGCTGCAGAATAAAACTTAAATATAGGCAGATGGTAGGCAAAAAAAACACAAAACACAAACAAAAGGATATTAAATTGTAGCAACAGGGGAGAAAAAACTGGGAAGAACAGAAATATAAAAAAAACTGAGGAAAAAGAAACAGTATGTGAAAAAATGTTTATATGAGCCATTAAGTGTTAGTCAGAAAGGGTTGCGTCTGTACTGACCAGAAAAAAAATCCTAACATGGCGTCTTTTACACTTTAAATAAATGCACCCAAACTACAGGTTGTTTCTTTCAGTTCGGTGTCTGTTATGCTGCTGCAGCATATGATTCATTTATTTAATTTTTTTGTACATATCTTTACCGGGTGCCAGTAAAAGTGGTTATAAATGTTCAGATTTTGAATCAAGAAAACCTTTGTACCTGTTGTCCTCAAGCGTAGTGCTGTATGCTTTTAGAAGAGCTGTGCTGCATGTCTTTAACTCCGTCTGTTTAATATTTGTAATATTTAGCTAGCTTTTTTAAAAATCTAAATCATTGTATATATGTTTACTGAATGATTACCAGCAGGTACAGACCCTTAACTGTGGCACCAGATCCAGTGTGTGTTTCAGCTGGATGACATGCGTGATCTTTGATTCAGCAGCTTGAACCTGGACGGGTAACATTTCATTAATGACAAATGAACAAGTAAATGACTAAAAAAGCTAATTTCTATGCAATGTAATTGTTACAATTTTGTTTGACTCTCAAAACTGTGAAAAATACAAAAAAAACAAAAAAAAACACACCGTTTCCTGCTTTGGGATCTGAATGAGAACGGAGAGCAGCCGATCAATGTCAAGGAAATGACCTATGGCTGAGAGTTTTCAAAGAACACACCGTCGGGTGTTATGTGAGTACATTAAAACTGGATGTATGAATAAAAAAAGTGTATCTCATAAACCATTCTTCAGGCCGAAAAAGAGCTCCTCATTTTGCAGCAGCTCTTGTATGGCGTCCAAGCGAGTGTTTATGGTGTCCACATCAAGCAGAGGCTCCAAAATATTGGAGCGCAGCCTCCTCAGTCCACCTGGCGTTTTTGTATGATTCAGTACTCCTAAAAGAGTATATTCACTTCTGTCCAAAGGCAAACAAAGACAGGTTGAAAGAGCATTCACTTACTCAGCCACTGGATAAAATCCTGCCACAATGTCTCTTACCTGTGGTCCCTGTTGTTGAGCACCAACTCCAAGTTAGCTGCAGATGCTGAGTCAATCATTGCCGTCTGTTCGCTCCCTTTAAAGATCACTTTTAGAGACTTGGATGCATAAAATGAGCTCTGGATAAACTCCAGGTATTTCAGCAAAGCAGCAGCAGTTGCTAGGCAATAATACCTAAAACAGCAATGATATAAGGTAGAGAACAAGTGTGGAGTTGCAGTAGATTAACACTGACCATAAGAGGTTAGCATAATCAGCATGAATTTCATATTAGTTTTAAGATTTTCTGATAACTGCTCCCTCCATTAACTGCTCCTCCCCGCCAAAAAAAATCTATGTAAATGTTAGAACTATTATATTTCAATATTTTTATCATCATTCAAAAAGATAAATGACACTTTGCTAACTGTCCTTAACAAGCTGCAGAGAAATTTAGTATCTCATTTTCGGAAGCAACTATTCTAACCCAAAATGTCAGATTTTATTTAAGTTATTTAAATCTTTTGGTTTGCTAGCAGTGGCGCGATTTCTCATTGAATTCCAAGAGTTAATTTTATACAACTTTTACTGTCATTTTTTATATACAGAGTGTATTACAACACGAAATTTCATTTTGTACAGCTTTCATAGCGTTTCCATTTCCTAAAGTGCAGCAGTGATCAAATGTAAACAGAAAGGAGGAAAAGCATAGTGCAAAAAAACAAAAACGCATTGATATGGAAGTTCAGAGCATTAAAAATGTATGGTGCAAATATGTAGAGTTTTGGATTGGTGTTATCAGTTTGATGTAAAGTCAGTGACATGATTAGGTTTTTTCACAACAATTCAGCTGTCTGATGGTGGGGAAGAATCTGCTGGACCTGAATCAAATGCTGCGAAGCCTCTTCCCAGAGGCTAAACACCCCATCATTGTCAAACTACATAAATGTATTCATTAAACAGCATTAAATATGCACTAAAATGCACCTGATTTCATGAGTATGCTTCTCATTAATCAGCTGTTGAGCTTCGGCCTACTGAGGTAAGCAACGAGAAAGTAGAGCACTGATTGGATAAAACTCAAAAATACTTCACTTCCAGTGAGGCTCAACCTCTTAGGGCTGGTCATGAAGCTGGCTGCACGATGCTGATTGGCAGACATATTTAAGGATTTTTGACTGACAGGGGCCAGACAGCGAGGACGTTTTCCTCATGAGTCCAGAGGGAAAAGTGATCATTTAGTCAGAACAGTCATGTTGTGTTGAACTCTCGCCATGGTTTTTGGAGTTTAATATTTCAGAGCGCTTCACAACAACTATTTTCACCAGTGGTAGTGATGTGTTTTATGTGTTTGAAGATTTGTTAATGCGATATGTGACGTTTGGATTTAAATAACACTACTGAGCCTCGCCTGTTTCAAAGAGCTGCAGCCACTACTGTTTCTCAATCCTATTGAAAATTGATCAAACATGCTCAAAAAAAGCAATAAAAAATAATAAATTCAGAGTAAAAAGCTACAAAAAGGGCTTGATTTTGTTTTCATCTTTCAAAGACACAATCCTCTAAATACATACACTATATTGCCAAAAGTATCTATCTTCCCACTTTTACATGTACATAAACTTTGATAACATCCTATTCTAAATCTCAGCCATTTTAAATATTTGGTAAACATATCCCACAATGTTTAGGGGAGGAGTTCATGGATGAGAAACACAAAGCTGCAGCATCCGCTCTCATTCATCCCAGAGGGGTTCAACGAGGTCAAGGTCAGGTTTCTTGACTCAAAACTGGATTCACATGCAGCCACAGGACTGTTGGGAATATCTAAATTCAATGATTTGGTGCTGTGACCCAATACTTTCTGCAGTATACCCTATATTTCAGCTTTAATGTACAAATTCTAATATAAATCCTATTTTTTAAGATTTAGCTTTAATTAGAAACTTAATCTCACCACTCCAAAGATGAACTCTTCATTTTTTTTTTTATTAAAAGCTTGAAATAATATGACATTTATGCTGTTGATGAACTTCAGAGCTGCATTGTGTTTCTTCTCTGCCATAGACTTACTTTGCTTGAACCTCCATTAAAACGGTGGCAAACTCAGGAGCACACAGCTGTTGTATGTACTCCAGCCCCTTCTTCTCATTATAGTACTTCCTCTGGATCGCAGTGATGGCTACACCCTGAGAAAAAAGATTAATGCATGGAAACATTATTTCAACAACAAATATTCTCATGAAGTTTAACCAGAAGGCATCTAGCAGACATCGATGTATGTTTATTTATTTAAAATATACTTAAGGAGAAGATTTTTCATGTATTCATACCGGATAATTCTCTGTAATTAGCTTAAAGAGTTTTGTCCCTTTTCCCTTTTCACTGGCTGTGTCTGGCATCAAGATTTCCACAGGCATTAAGATGCGAATCCTGGTTATAACCTTTGGGGGCAAAAATTAGGAAAATAACAAAGCGAAAAAAGAGGCAACTACATTTTGGATTTTATGTTCTTCTTTTAGGTTTTATCATTCCCTGGAAAGAAATGAACAGGTTACCTTAGCATATGTCCCTGTGTCTGCAAACTGAGAAAGTACAAGCTCTGGACATTTTAAGTCAATGCAGGCCATGCCAATCTCTCCTCTGGCCAAACCTCGCCCTTCCACTATTGCTACTATCACAGAGGCTGCAGAGGTGGAGGAGGCAGACGAGCTGCTTGTTCCTGTCAAGAATGATCATTTGGGCTGAATAAAACAGTTACATCTCAGAACATATTTCAATCTGTAATGACGTAGTATGTCAACCAGTGGGGCCAGCCGAACCCGGGGTCCTCCTGAGCCTGGGTGTTCCTCCGGGGAAACGAACTGAACAGCTTTCAGAGGAGGAAGACACGAGGACCGATGAGGTTGTCCTTCCCAGCCTGATATCACTCTGGCTCTGACCTTCAACAACAAAGCTGAGTCAAAGACAACATTTATCAGGTGGTCCCACTCCTATTCTACCACTGACAGTCAGAATAAAACCAGACAATAGCATGTTTTATGGCGCCTAATTTGAGCTTCCGTAAAAAGAAGGATTTGGCAAGGCTTGAAAGCTGTATTTTATGGATTTTTTCTACTCCGTCTGACTGAACTTAAACTGATTAAGATATACTATATAAAGACTATAGATTACATTTATCAGATTTGTATTTGTATATTGTTTTGACATCATTATTGTGAGTTCATAATATTGTGTTGACTATTAATACTGAAAACACCAGAAAAAGGTTGATAAAAACCACTGAGGTGAACTGTTTTAAGCTAACAGGTCGGGGAAAAGATCAAAGGGTATGGTCACTTTTTAAATGGACTGCAAGCTAGCTTTTTTGTACTTTTTTAAATTACCTGAGGTTATTCCGGATTGGGGTGGAGCACTGGTTGTAGCGGGAGTGTCAACCTCTGAACTGCGGTAACAGGGAGCAGAGGAGAGGGATGCGGGACAGCAGGATGAGGCGGTGGTTTCCTTTAAGCCTCTTCTTCCACAGGTTTGTCCCCATTCTGAGGTCTCACTGTCGGTTACCTCATCTGTGCTGCTCTGAAACATGTTGACTCTCACAGAGAAATTATAATAAAAAAGAATTTCTAACCTGCGTAGGTTTATATCAACGTATATTATTTAGACTTAAAAGGGTTGTAGTGTAATCCTTTGAACATATTTCAATGAGCTAGCAAAACTTGCTATTCTAAGAGCCACCGGAAGTTAGCGTTTGACGATCACGATCCGTTCTGCGCATGCGCCGTCAGCTCATTTGCGCATGCGCATCCAGTTACACATTCGGATCGTCCTTGATTTTATTTTGTTAAAAATACCTAAATGACGTTTTCTTTCCCAAAAAAATATAGTAAACATACTAAAATATAACTTGTTAGCGGTTAATAACGTATTTCCTGATAAAAAGAGATGCCTTAAAATCTTTTCTGTTTTATCACTCGTTTCTTACCGACCTGCACCAGAAATGGGATCTAAGCCACTTTCTGTGGCTAACTTTTCCGGATTTAAACATAAATCTAGTCTTTTTGAGTTTTATGTTTTCATTTTCGCCTTATGCCATATAGTGCGTAATCTAAGGAAAGAAAGAACTAAAATGCAGATAAACATGGTTTAATCAGATTTTGCCGAACTGCTCTTAGCATGTCTAATGATGACGTCAGAGAAGCGGTTTACCGAAAAAATTTTGAAAAGCATAAACAGTCTCACAAAAGTCATAAAACATTTTTTAACAGATGCGTATTGGTATTCTTTAGTGAGTTAATAATAGAAATAAGTTGTTTTAGTACCATAATTTCATTATTTATGGACAGCCTGCTGTTCCTGGGAAATGAGAACTTTATTTTGAAAGGTAATATGCTACATGTCTGGTTCCATGTTCATATTATTTATTAATATTGTATAAAATGTAATAATTTTAAATGTACCGAGCTTAAAAAATAACATGAAAAAGAGGAATTTTAATTAAAAAAACATTCATTTTTATGATTATTTCACGATAGGCCACAAAGAAAAAAAATATTAGCGATTGCATCTGATTGTTATCCTGGATTAGCCATATTTTCGGGAAGAATACCGTGAATTTCAACCTAAACGTCGACTTCAAATCCCCTAAATGTTGTCCACTCAGTCTTATTCTGAAAAACAAAGTCATACCGGAAGTTCATTCCTAGCAGTGAAACGGTTCTTAGCCAACATGGCGGCACAAACAGACGACAGCAAGTATTTTGTGAGAGAAATTGAAAAGAATGACGGCTGCGTCTTAAGAATGAAGCAGTGCTATATGGGAGACGTTGGCTGCGTGGTCTGGGATGCTGCAATCGTTCTCGCTAAATATTTAGAAACTAAACAGTTTTATGAGCCGTCGACAGGTGTCAACATGTGGTGTGGAAGGACTGTGGTGGAGTTAGGAGCTGGGACAGGAGCCGTTGGTTTGATGGCAGCAACACTGGGGTGAGAATCTAGATTGAAACCTCACCTCATTTTTATCACACCACTCCTTTAATCTGTCTGATTCTCTTTGGATCTCCATTTATATGTTTGTTTTTTGTCTTAACAGTGCTCAAGTCATAGTTACAGACTTGGAAGATTTGCAGACCCTCCTGAGTGCAAATATTCAAGAAAACCAGCCACTCGTCAAAAGTGGATCCATATCTGCCAAGGTACTAAAATGGTTTGTAGCTCTGTTTGATATTGCAATGAAATATGTTGTTCGCAAGCTGCATATTTGCTATACCTTAACCCTCTTTCTTTTCCTTCCAAGGGGTGAAGATGTGTCTGAGTTATTGCCTCATCCACATTACATTCTTATGGCAGATTGCATATATTATGAGCAGGTACTCTACACATTTTCTACTAATCACTCTTTAAAGAATGTGAAAAGACATAGAATCCTTCATATTCCCACAGACTGCCACTCTGGGTCCCTGAGCAAAAAGACTCTTAAACTCACACTGCTCCCCTGGCGCTGCACAATGGCAGCCCACTGCTCCCCAAGGGGATGGGTTAAATGCAGAGAGTTTTTTGTAAAATAAAATCATACAGTGCAATGTCAATAAAAGCTGAAAAAAACTCTTAAAACATTTACTTTTATTATGTTTACATATTATTACCTTAAATCTACACATCTCACCTACTTTGAGTGTCCAGATTTCTGGGATTAGAGAACGTTTGTTTGATAATTTTTAACATGTAATTGATTGTTTATTATGACAAGCCTATTCACCTTGCAGCTGAGCTGTAACTAACCGCACAGCCAGAAGTAAAATCCGATGGTTTAGATTAGAAATGGATCAATACATAGACTGGCCCACATTGGTGATATGAGCGTTCATCATCCGATTCATTTGTGCATTCAGCAGCCGTGTGTTAAGATGATGTGAAGTGCATTCATTGCTGCTACCACCACTACTGAGGCTTCAGTCTGCTCATCAAACGATGTTTTATTCATTTAAAAAGGCTATTTTAAGTTATGATCTTATTTTCTAAAAGAAAATGAGTGTTGTGTAGTATCAAAATATTTCCAAAACATTTAGGACTATATCCTGAATTTAAGAAAATTACATAATTATATTTTAACAATTTATTGTACCAGCTGTTATTAACTGCAGACTGAATAACAGCAATATGTTTTCTTGCACATCGTTAAACTTAAATATATTTATAAGATATAACGAAACAGGAACCTCATGAAGTGATGATGTTTTTCAGCACCTGGAGGTCAATTCTCTTAAGCATGTTCGAAATCAAATGCGAATTAATAACCCACCTGTCGTTCTCGTGGGATGTTGGAGTCGGTTTTTGTTTTTGTCTCTGAGCTTTGGGTTAGGCCATTTGAATCATAATGTTCCAGGACAGAGTCATTTATCCTTGGAAGCAGAAACATCAATCCTCCCCACTGTTTAGTGATTGCATTTCTGCTAGTTTGTTTGGGCGACGTAATGCTCAATTTGGACAACTTCATGCTTTGAGTGATTTTTTGACTTGTTTTTGTTCTTTTTGCCTCTCCTCTGTAACTAAGGGAAGATTTTCATCCTGGTCATTTAGTTGTGATAACAGAAAGTTTGTGTTGCAGTGGACTCGCATCACCTAGATATCTAGTTTAGATAAAAGAATATTCATGTGTTATAAAATTACCCAGAACAAATGTAGGCCTAAATCCATTTAATTAAACACCTAAAAATCCATGTTCATATAAGATCAGTCGAATCTCAGAGGTTGTGAATACTTTATTCTAATATGAGACAGCAAAAAGTATTTTTCCATTATATTTCTCATTTCATTTTTTAATGGGTACATTTCTACAGTCTATTAGTCCGCTGGTGGAGACCTTGAAGCAGCTTTCTGGACCAGAAACCTCCATTATCTGTTGCTATGAGCAACGCACCGAGGGCGTTAATCCAGAAGTGGAGAGGAGGTTTTTTGAGGTATGAATAGAAACATTGGCTTAAAACATCCTTTTTACTGCTATTTACCACCTCACTTTTTTTCCCCCACAGTTGCTGCAACAAGATTTCACTTGTGAAAAGATCCCTTCAGACAAACAGGACCCAGAGTTTAGCAGCCCTGACATCCACATTCTGCATATTCAAAGAAAACACTGATCTTCTCGCATGACGTTTGCTGTGCTATTTAGATTTCTACCAGTTATAGAAAAGAAAAAAACGGACTATGACTCACAACAACCTTAAAGCCTACAGTCTGTGACTTTTTTATCTTTTTATATTTGTAGAAAATAATTGGATTTTTTTATGGAATAAAAACGTAATATTCTGAAAATCAGTTTTGCTCCAAGATTCTTCCTTGAAATATTATCATGATGGAAATAAAAGGCTTTTTGTTTTTATAACAGGCATTACGTTTAATGAACACCAGGGGGCGATAAGTACTGAACACCAGAAACCTTAATCTTTCTGGTCAAAATTATATTGTGTCATATAACCCCAACCATGTTAATAATCAGCATACAAATAATGATAAAGAAAACAAATATAAAGAAAACATATGACACATCAAGTAAATAAGAAATAAGCCTAGAAGTTAGAATGGTTTAGAAAAGCAAAGTGAAAACAATATGCTAGTTTTTGCCCCCATATGAGAGGAATTCCATTCAGAGCTCCAGATTAAGAAGATTATGGCTCCTATTCAAGTAAAAAAACCATGAAGTACGCCGCACACGCTCTCACAGGCACGCAGGGGCCCCAGACAGCCTTTCTTGCTTTGTTTACACAGTAGGAACTGTAGCATAAAGAACATGGGTGGCCCTCTGTGTCCTGGCTAAATAAAATCATATGGATGTAGTTGACAGATTGAGATTTAAGTCTGAATAGATGCACAAGTTGCACTATAAGTTACCTCCATGTCTAAGCAACAATTATGGTGCATAGAATACATTTTTTTTTTTTACAAGGATTTAACGTCAATGTCCTCCAGTTTCAAATGTCAGTCTGTTTAGTTTTATTTAATAACACTGGTCCATCTCAAAGACTTAGAATTGCACCAAAAAGGTAGTTTATTTTAGAAATTGGGCTCAAAAAGGGAAACTGGCTGCTGAAAATCTAAAGTTACATCTCTTGGAATCTTGCTTCAGAACAATAAATGGATATTTGTCACAAAAATGTCTTAAAAGTGTTACAATTTCTATCAGTCTAATTGAGATGTTTAAAAACCTGAGAAACTGACTATTGTTGGAATTAATTTAGCAATTTTCTCCTTTTGGTTAGATGAGAGCATTTTTATATTTGCAAATATGATTAAATGCAGTTACTGTGCAAATCAGTGATGCAAATTAAATTTGTTTAACTGGTCCTGGAGAAGTTTATTTAAAGGAGGTATTTTATTTTTCATACCAGTTTGAGCTTCTGTGGAGATTTAATTACTTTAACACCCAGCTACATAGTTAAAAAAATAGGTCTAGAAATTTACATGGTGCTTATCATCCCTTTTATTGTCACAGTTAAACTAATAGAATATGATTTTATATAAAATGTTCACAGTGCCCATCATTATCAAATGGAGCATTTTAAAGACAATGGTGTGCTGTGGGCTATACTTTATACAATCAGCAGGAAGACTCCTCCAAATCAGATGCAGACTGAAGCTGGAGTCCTTGTTTTAGGAGATAAACAATAACTGTCATATTTCTAGTGTTAAAGAGGGCTAAGTAGAAAAGAGCCTGGAATTTAGCTCAGTTGTCTAAAATCAGATTAAATTTTCCACAGTCTGATGA